TTATTTATATATTTAAAGAAAATTATGAAATAAAATAAAATGAATAAATAAAATGAAAATAAATCTTACATTATGTATACTTAATAATTAAAAAATCTTTTATGTTTCAAAGTAAAAACAATTGTCCCAAATATCCCTTGCTTTATTTTCTTTTAATTAATCTTCCTTTTTCTATTTTTTTGTTTACTTGTATTTCTTTATCATTTTTAATGATCTGCGATAGAAAGTTTTTCAAAATTCAAAATACTTCTTTTATCTACGTTAAAGTCCTTGAAATAAAACATTTATAGAAATCAATTTTGAACACTTTTTGTAAATGATTAAATATTTTAACTCAATTACTTTTATTATTGAAATTACTTAAATTGTATGAAAAATAAATTTATGCGGCTAATAGAAAACTGGTTAATAGAGACGAAAAAACAGTAATATTCATATTTAAATACTTTATTGAAAAATAGAGCAATACAATAGTATTAATATGGATAGGAGAAAGTATTTGACATTGAAGGTATTATAAATTTCAAATAAAAATGGTAAAAATTTTATTTTATATATTGTCAAAAAATTATAATTGTTTACTTTTTGAAAATATTAATTTATGTAGTATTACAATATATTTTACGAATGATCTTATATTTTTCTTGCAAATTGAAGATTTTGTATATTAATTTGTAACTAAAGAGAAAAAAAATTCTAAAATCTAAAAATTTATCGCATTTACAATTTCATTTAAAATTTTTACCTTTTTATAGTTAATAATCATTGTTTTAATTGTGTATTGGTATATCGGTATTCGCGTTAGGATTAAAAAATCATTTTTAAATAATTTAAATTTTCAAACCTTTCTCAAAGCTGAGTCAATTATTAAACATACAATGCATCATCATTCTGTGTGCTATTAGTACTAGAGTAGGAAAACAAGTTGAAACAGAAAGTCGCGGTTAAGCAAAAAATTAATGGATTGGGATTGTACACAACAAAGCACGGGCGTACGTGAAATAAAATGAAGTTCGCATCGACACTGCTCTATAAAATGCTTCTCTCTGCTTAGCTTAGAACCCTTTTGTGGTCTACCTCCAACCGAATCGTCCGGCTGAACCTACCGAAATACTTCTCCATGGGAACCAACTTTTCATTTCTCAGGTTCTTGTGAAGGTGATGCAGAAGTTATTTGCATGTAGAGTTTATAAATAGAGTAGTGTTATTATTCTGGGCTTTTAAAGGTATCGGAGCTGATATTTCTGGATACAATTACATTAGCCCTCTTATTATTGTATTATTATATCTTACTCTTATTATATCTTTTATACTCTTATTATATCTACATTATTGTAGCGGAGCCGATTATTATTTACAAGCCAGGCCTTGGTTACGGTACCGAATTATAACTTCTGTTTATTAACACCCGAAAAATGGAGGAATTGAGTCTATTTACATTGATAGTCTCTCGACTATCAATATTTAATCAATCTCTAGTAACCCTGCTAATTAGACTATAAATTAAATTTTCTATTTGTTTAAGCACCTTTTCCAATTTCATATCAATCAATTCTTTCATAAAGTTAACGGAAAGTTAAAGTTAATAGGATAAATCAAGTAATTAATGTTCAAAGTACAATAATTCTTTAGTTAGTATAGAAAATATCATTGAATTTTTATTCAATTATTCAACACATTGAAAAGAGTAGAATCATTTGTAAAATTCTCTTATATATTGTAAATATACAATCTAATTTAATATAATTATAATTTAAAAACTTAAATATATGTTATTTTAAATTTTAAAGTGTATGTAAATTAATTTTGATATTTATCTAGAAAATCGCCGATCTAAAAATATCATTGAAGGATATGCAACAAAATTTCCGGATTATACTGTTTCTCCAGAAGATCTTTCTGGTTTTTCAAGTAAACCAGCATTTTGTGTGGAAATAAAACCAAAACAGGGCTTTCTTTGCAAAGCTGATCGACAATTTAAAAAATGTCCTTATTGCTTAACACAATATTATAAGGTTTGTAATATTTTTAAAAATTTTCTTTATACAGTATATAAATTACAAAATTTATTCAAATATATTAATAAGTATCATTAATATTCTTGATATTTAATTTTTATTTATAATAATTGTTTTTAAATTTTGTATCGAAAGTTACAATATAAATTTATAATTTATTAACTACTTACATGTGCTCTTTAAGTTACACAATACTGAAAAAAGTACATTCATATTTATTTTATGGATAGGAATAAAGGTAATTGTATCCAAATATTATATAGAAAATTAATATTCCTATAAATCAATTAAAGTAAAGGAATTGTATAAAAGTAGAATTACTTAATCATTTGCTACTTTTCTTGGGTACATTTTCCTTAAAATTATAAGGTTTATATTTAGAATTTACATAGAGAAAACGAAAATATTTACCTAATATTATATTTAATACTATTTGTTTTATTAGTTTTATATCATATAATTTATAGCATACAAGTTATTATGATAGAGTTTTTAGTCAATTTATTTAAAATGTTTGACAATGTACTTGGCTGATTATCAAAATCACCGTTAATTGTCACATTATTTTTATATGTCATTAATATTTAATTTAAAGATATATAGATTTATGAAATTTACTTTTACAATCACCTTAATTTGAAACTCAATTGTATTAAGTTATTTAGTTAATAATAAAAAATAGTAAATACTCTGAATAACTTTTATCTTTTTAAAACAAATATAAAATTGTGATACATTATTTTTCAATTTAGTAATTTACACTACTAAAAAAGATTAAATGTTGTAATTTAAAATCATGAATTATCTATTTATAACACTTATTGTATATTATTTGATATAGAAAATAAGATTTCTTATTTGTGTAGCATTAATTTTTATATCATTTGCAAACATTTGTAAACTTTTAAAAATATATCTTATAATATATAGTGGAATGTACTATTGTACGATCTATTCTTAGATGTTATTTCCCTTATAAAAAAGGTCTTTTCATTTTATATACTTTGAAAATTACGGCTGATAACCTGTTTAATTTTATTAAATTCATATTCAATTTAATATAAAATACTGATTTAAATTTCAATTAATCTAATATATTTACAAACTAATCTGTTGCAAATAATAGTAAGTCACCATTTTTTTGTTTTTGCTTTTATTTATTTAATTATTTTAAGGTCTATCAAAGTATTGGTTGTTAACGTATAATATTGTTCATACGTTTAAATATTTTTTTTTTATTTTAAATAAATGTTTAAGTTAGATATAAACATATTGTTTATATTGAGAATCAAGTCTTATTAAAAAAAATTAATGCCTTGGATTTTTATAAAGTGTTAATATAATAACTCTCTAATAACATTTTTCGGCTATCAACAGCTTTTTCGTTACATTTTACTGTAATAAATATATGAATTTACTATCAATATATTTAACAATTTATCATCTCCGTCTGTTATGCAAAATTGTTTTAATAATATCTGTAAATTAATTTTATATAGACCATTAAAAATAAAACATACAATATTGACATAAGTTTCAGTTTAATAGTTTTTGATATAATTTTTGTGCATGACAAACGTGTGTAAGTATTTCTATGATGACTTCTACTTCAGCTTTATCCGAAGATTCTTTCTGATTTATTAACCTGTATAATTACCGAATTATTAACTGGTTTACTTAACCGAATAAGTTTTCAATAGTCTTTTAAATATATATTACTTATAGTTTCCATTATATTTTAAGTTTTGCACATTTTATAATAAAAACCTAATTTCTTAAATCATCAAGTAATTTGTCGTTAAAAAATATGTTTTATAGAAGTAACATTGTATCTAAAAGTTATTATATTAGAGTGGAATAAGGTTTAAAGTAAAGTTTGAAACAAAGGATTTTACGTATAAGTAAATGGTTACATTGTTATTTAATTTTTAAGCATTCTTATATTTATAAGTTATATTATATACATTGGTACGAGACATTTATGCGATAAATTGTTTTTATAGTATATATAAAATAATAAGTTTCGTGATAAACATTAAATATATTATGCGTTTATTTGTTGGATTGGATTTTTTGGATTAAAATATGAAATATTTAAGGCAAAGTAGCTTAAAAATTAGAAAATGAAGGTAATTACAAATTTCGATAATATAGCTATTACATATGATATTTAATATAATTTATAAAAGTCGTCATCTACCTGATGGTTATTATATTGAAGTAGTATGAAAATGAATTTTAAGATAATAAGGTAATGTTAAATTTTACTTAACATAAGTAAGGTACGACGGTTTGCCTTAATTTAACGGGAGTAAGAACAAAAGGAATTTTCATGTGATGATGTAATGAATTTGAAACTGTTAATTATTAATTACTAGTTAATTATTAATGATACTTGTAATAATAATATAGATAAGCCGTTTTATTGAACAAAAAGTTACACAAAATATTTTTAGTAAATTAGTAAAATTAAAATATGATTTTATGTTTATTCATGATTCTCATATATAATTCTTTCAGTGATTTAGTATTTTACAATATAAATTAAAAACAAATTAACATTAACGTAAATATTTTAAATTACACTTTTAAAAAATCAACTATTATAATTAAAATAATAATTTGATCCGGAATAGTAAATGGTTATTTCAAAGAATGCAATACAAACGTTACAACCAATCATAATATTTTTACATTTTAATCATTTATAACGTTGGAAGCTCAACTCAATTTAACCATCATTTTGCAAAGACATTTGTATTTAAGTCACGTGTAGTAAAGTAAATCATGAATAATCATTAAAATCCATAAAAATTTAATTTTTGTATCTTCTTTCCATTTAAACAATATAAATAAAAAAACATAAGATACGATAAATACCTGGTTTATACTAATTAATCGTACAAACTTCGAGTGTCTTGACTATTTATCTAAAAAATATTCAATAGATTCTAAAGTTTGTTTATTTATTCTATTTTAAAGAGTTTGCATGGTAAAACCAGACGGCCCAGTGGCTATTGTCCCTTCGATCTCTTTTCCGGTGAAGAATCACGTATGGAGCGCGCCCTGGAAGCGCTGTTGTGCTCGCCACAGAATAACTTAAAAATATTTAAGGAGGGAACGCTGATTTACGACGAAGAGCTTGCAGATAAAGGTATACTCGAGCGCATCCTCGCCGATTGGTTTTCTAACGACGATCCGCTAAAGTCTTTCTTGGAACTTACGAGACGAGCCCTTATGCAACCCTTTGATGTCGATCGGGATTTACCTACTATGACGATGTATGAGCTTGCAGATGGTGTCAGACTTCCTAGCCGACTTAAACCTGCGCTCGTTCGAAGAGTTAGGACACTTCTCACCGGTATGCAGGTAATTTTTGTTAATGAACTCCCATCTGCCAATTTTCAATTCAGGCTTGTTTTCCTTGCATCATACAAAAATCCTTGCAAATGTACGTTTCTATCAAGAGATATTCTTCTGTTACTAGTCATATTAGCGAATTATTAAATTACGAATGGAACGATTTATTAAATCTTTTATATACAAGGAGTAATTAATTTGATTTTTCTTGTTTTTGTGTTTTCTTTTATTTTTATGTAAAATTACAAGTACTAGCATCTGATGCTAAAAAATAAACTATAAAATGTATTAAAACTATTTTCTGTTATAAAATATATTGCTAATATTTATGATTAATGTAGTAATTACAAGCTTTTATGTTTTTTTTTTATTAAATAGATATTAAAAATTTTCATACCAATGTATATATTATTTTCAATTTTCCCAATTTTTTATACTTTCGTAGACATTAACGTGTTTATTTTATGCAGAATGCTCTTTGATGATATATAAATCGAGTAAAATTTCAATATTTTATATAACTAAGTAATTCACATAGAATCACATAACAGATGAAGAAATCAATATTTATATCAAGTAAAGGGAACTAGAATAATAAATGACCGTAGTAGTGTAAGCGCAACTGAAATGTACATTCATCGTTTGAAAACTTTTCAAGCATATTAAATATTGATAAAACAATGTTAACAATTATCATTTACTAAGATATATAATATTAAGATGAAAACAGTTATTTTAATTAGATTATTAAAGTGAATTTACTGTTAGTGCTTTCAAAATTTAGTCAAAGTATAATAAAAAAGTGAATTTATCCATTGTGACAATGGGGAACAAAGTATAGAAAATTAAAAATTATATTAAATTAACATTATATTAAATATTTCATCAGAATAAAATATATCTTATGCGAATAATGAAATATACGTATTTGATAATTAGATTTAAATTATTATTTCTCTTGAACTTGAAAATATAGTTTTTAAGGCAACCTTATTTTTCATCTAGTTATCATTCAAAAGCATTTTAATTCAATTTTTTGCAAAAGCCATAGTTAGTTTATTATTATTGCATTCAAATCATATGGAACTAAATAAATAAGACCGAAGAAATATATATTATTGATTTACAATTATATAATCTTATTAAATAGTTTAAATTTCATAAATACATTTAAAAAATAACACGATTTTCTTCAATTTCATTTAATTATGGTTTTTCTGTTTCAAAATTTTAAGTTTTTTTGTTATAAATTAACAATAAAATCTAAAATATTCTGAAAATTATATATTTAACATTTTAAATCTAGAATTACAGCATAAATTAAAATGCTATATGACTTCGTACACATTACACAGTCAATAAAATTTGAATTTTTTTAAATGAAGGAAGCTAAAGACAATAGAATTTTATTATCATCAAAGGATCTATATATTATAATAAAATGTTCATTAAATAAATTACTTAATATATTTTTTTTCATATAAAAATCTCTATTTTATATTTGATCATATTAACCAATATATTTTTGTTGATAAATGAATAATTAAAATGAATGTATATTATATATAGAAAATAATAAGACTGCGATACATTTCTAATAATTATTATTGTACTACTAATAATTTTATTATCTTCCTGTTTTATATTATTTTTTATTATTTTATCAATTGGCGATATAAAAATTATATACTTTATTGTGTTTATGGTATTTTAGAATTCGATAGTATAATTAAATAGAAGGGAAATGTGTGGATGTAAATTACCTTCTTATAAGTGTATTGTATTTATATTGTCGGAATCTTGAATTATTTGAGACTAGGGTGTTTTGCGATGCAAGCAAAGGAATCAAAATGATTCTCCCTTAACATAATATCGTAATATCGAGTCGAATGCAATCTATTTCAACATTTATTAATGCTGCAATTTTACGTAGCAGTATTTTTTACAAAATTCATGGATGTACTTACAGTAATCGTGCATCTCAATCTATTCTTGCGCGTGCGTGATTATGTAGGGGGATAAGAAGAAAGGGTAAATACAAAATTATGAACAAGAACCTAAAGAAATGTGCAGATAAGTGACTAGTTGCCAAATAGCAGCCTACCCAGTGGCTCAGCACTTGAACGGATTCTTCGAATGCAGGAGGTGCATCGTTGCGGGCTTGACGTCGTTGTCTGGATCCATGCCAAGTTCTCAGCGATTCTTAGCGATGAGCTGATTAATGCGGGCTTCATGGGGAGTGGTGAAGGCAGCCCTTCTGATCACGTAAATTTTTAATCTTACTTCTTTTATTATTATATTGTTTTTATTATTTAATTTTATTCAGCTCTTTATAAGACAAGTGAGTCTGTCGAGAAATGGGCTGAATCTTTATTTGGGCAAGCGTTGCTCGTCGATGTTAAAGATCTTATTATTACTAAAGGCACATGCAATTCATTTATTTTATTGAAAAAGGAGAAAGTTATTATAAATACAGTCCTTTAAATTATATATACAATTCTCAATTTACATTATACTTAATTGTAATGTTAATTGTATTCAATCGTACTATATGATTAATTAGTTTGCGAATCGTTAACAGTTTTTCGTACTTTGATTTTATTGTACATTAACTGTTAATGTCATTAATTAATATTTAAAATCTTCATTTTATCGGGAATTCCATATTATGATTTTCGAAACTTACGTATTAATTAGTTGAGGAAAATGTACATTAATGCTTTGATTAAATTATTCTAAGAAAATACAAAATTAACTCAATTTAGACAATGTTATTAATATATTGTATATAATTTAAAAAAAGATGAAATTTATTATTAATGTATAATAAAACTATTGTACGTACTAATTTGGAAATTAAAATTTTAATTTTATATTATTAATAGAATATAGTAAAAGACAGTATTGCTAAAAATATTATAATCGTATTTTATTATTTATCATATTTTGTAGCTTAAAATATATTATCACGTTTTTTAAAATAAAGTTAATTAATAAATAAAATAAAAGTGCTATAATTTTTAAAATTTTTAAAGATTTATAAGCACTAACTACTTTATTTTTATTTTGAAAAAGATAATATTTCTAACATGGTACATGCTAGATATTCATAGGAAACAAATAAATAAAATTTGTAATATATTATGTATATTAAAAATTGCATTTTAAATGTCTATCATCTAAAGGACTGTAAAACTACTTTTTACAAAAGTAAACGATACTATATATATATTTCTTATTCATGCTTTATATAAGACTAATTTTATAAGTTTATTCGTTAAATTTATTATGATAAAAATAAAATCTGTAAATAAGTTTTAAAATAATTAAACATTTAAATTAATATTTGAAAATAATGTAATTTTTGTACTTAATTTTGTCTTCTTTTTATGACTCATATTTTTTAAGTATTAATAAAATTAAATATTTTGAAATTTGAAACACAACTGTGTCAGATTCAATGTATTCTTTTCCGTATAAAATTAATTAGAGAAAGTATGTTTTAAATTAAATTGAAGTTTTTAAATATCATTGGAATAAATAAAAGCGTTATAATATGAATGCCTATACCAAACGCTAATTTCCATTATAATATGGAAATATTTAAGAACGTTGAATTAATTCTATTAGTCATTAATATTGTAAGTGTGTATAGTTATTTTATTTAATTTGTATATATGAATGTTTATATTTGTTTAAATTCGGATTATTATATTGGAAACTTTTTTTCAATTCATTATAATGTTGGTCATGCATTTTCATTTATTTAATATATATTTATAAAAATCAATTAATTTATTATTATATACATTTTTGCCATTTTTAATTAAAGCTTTCAATACAAATTAATAGTGTAGAGTATAAAATTGTCTTATATTATAAAAGTCTGAAAATTTATGAGAATTATATTTTTTAAACAGACTACCACGAACGTTAATGAGATGGAAGATCGAAGAAAAAACCAGTTATGCGATTGGATAGTCAATGACGATGTATTAAAAAATAAAGGAGATATGCCTCACTTATCTAAACAAAACAAGAATTTATTTAAGCATAATGAGCAAATTTCAAGTAATAAAATTATTGACGAGACTTTGTTGAAAAATATTACAGTTGAAGATATTTTTAATATTTTGAAAAATTACTTAATATTTTGTACGGCGAGGGACTGCTCGATATTAATGGCTTTTCAAGAAGTAAATAAGTAAGAAAATGAATTATATAATTTATGTTCTAAGTAGACTTCTTTATTATCATCCGTCGGTATTATAAAAAAATAGATATTGATCATTGGTGTTTTCTTATCTACGTTTGCAAATAAAGAATGTTTGTAAAATCAATCAACTTAAAGTTAAATCTTTATAGTTTTTTATATAACATATAATATATAAATTGAAAATACTAAAACAAACATTAATATTGTTCTAATGTTTATAAAATTTAATAAATTAATAATGCCGGTTACTTTGTTATATCATATTTTTAATATATTTATGCATTTTTAGAGACTTATCATCAACTATCGGCTCCCAACATCTAATGGAAGTTTCAGCAAATCAGTGGTTTTTAGTAAGCGTTCGAATATTAGATCTGGACATAAAGAGTCCGACTTGTATTGAAACGCATTGTCAGAGAGATAATAATATATTGGAAGCAACTATAAAAGAATTAGAAAAAAAGTTAGTTAATTAAATTAAAGTGAAATTTTTTTAATTAATTAATTACAATTAATTACAAATTAATCTACAATATTTATCGTTATAAAAGTTTTATCATTGCTATATATAAAATGTGTACTATGTAAATATTTGTATATTGTTCTAATCAATATGATCAATTAAAATTGTGTTAAATAAATTACATATAATTTGATGATATCAATAAATTTAAAATTGATGTTCTTATATATTTATTTTGATATTTATTTAATACATTATTTAGATATATCCATTAAAATATAATCACTTTGTTGATTATTTGTAATATAATTTTTAAATTGTATCAAAATTGTATAAATTTGTATCTTTGTATAAACTGTTATATATATAATTAGATGTAAAAATTAATAATATAATTGTAATTATATACTATTCATTGGACTTTGCTTATGCATAGCACAAATGTAATAATAATTTGTATATTCTATAAGTAAATTAAGATGTTACCATATACTTTAATAGGATTTGTTTAATTTTTATATATTTATTTTTTATTATACCAGACATAATTCTAATAGATAATTTTTTAGATAACTCAACTGATTTCATATATAATTTATTTTATAATTAGATACATTAGGCTATAAGATAAATTAAGATGTTACAGGTAAATATAAGAATTTTATTGGAAATCTAATTTTTATTGTATAAGAATATAAAATTAATTACTAAAAGTTTGCAATCAATTTACTTTGGTTAATTAAGAAATGAAAATGCTCTCAGTTATCTACAGAAAATATCGACTTTCTTTTTTGGTTTAAATGAATAATAGAAGAAGCGTGTAAGTATTTTTGAAGCATATTCAATGAAACAAATAACTAATTTATGTATGTAAAAAAGTTTGAGAAGCTAATTATGAAAATATACCAAATTTATTGTTAAAACTATTAAGAAATCCAGTGTTACTTTTGGGTGAAACAGTGGGAGAAATCAATGAATATATAAAGGATATATCGATTGATACTTTTGACCTCGAATAAGACATTTATGAATGGCATGATTGTAAATGCGCATGCGCTGCCATGCGATTCTTTGTTTCTTTCTGTCTGTCTGTCTGTCTGTCTGTCTTTCTCTCTCTCTCTCTCTCTCTCTCTCTCTCGCCTCTCTCTCTCTTAATATATATATTACTTTTAGCCTTGTTTTTGACCTTAACTTCATTGTAAATGAATCACGATGTAAATTTCAACCTTGGGCTTCTCACTTTTATAACTTGTTTTTTTTCTTATTAATCACAAATTTAATCAACCACATTCCCCCTGTGAACTATCTTATGGTGCTAGCGTTATCACATTTATTGGGAGTTTCCGCTTTTCTCCCATTATGCACATTGACTTCCATCTTTCCGTAAACAACTCGGCGTTGTTTGTCTACCTTATGGTTTTCGTTCTCACTACTCCTTCCTGCACCTTCTCATTCACTTTACGCTATTCTCCTTAATTTTGTTCATAGTCGGGCACATTTGGTAGTAATCTGTGACGTTTATAAATGGCGATGCTTTGAACAGTTGTGCGCGCGTTCTCCTGTGCGTCCCTCTCGGTGCCGCCACAGAGCAAGCATAGTGCAGGGGGACGGAAATGCATATTTTCATTCGTTTGCCCTTGGCATTTCACTCTACTTACTTCGGTTTGGGGCTGTGAAATCTGATATTAAGAAAAAACGAAAAATAGACCGGTGTGAGAAGATAGCGAGTGCGAGTCGTGTATGCGTGAGAGAGTGAGCGAGTGAGAGTGAAAGCATGGATGAGAGGGGTTAGAAAATCGTGACACATTTTCACATGTCCATAGAGGCAACGAACGTTCTTGCGCGTGTACTCGTATATGTGCAGATTTTTTTATGAATAGCCAGCTTCGTTTCGTAAATGAGTTGTATAGCAATTTTGTTGATGTAATATAAAATTCAGTGCGCTACGAGTTGGATTTCTAACCTGAAACGTGCGTTGTACGGATAAGTTCGTGCGTCATGAATTAATTAATGTTAGTTCTCAGCGTGGAAATGTCCTGTTTTTAATTGGAATTCGCGTTTTTAAAATTTCATAATGTTTTTCACAAGGTATTCAAAAGTTGGAATCATTTACATGGGTGTAATGTTTGCGAATCGGTAATTTAGATGCTTGGTTTGATGCTCTAAACATCCAGCTAAAAAGCTTAAATGTGCTCTACGAATGCAGTAAAAATTTGGAATGACAATCCACAGATTCAACTTCGAACAACAAATCAAAAGGTATACGTAAAAAGATCTGAGGATGAAAGAGCGATAAAGAGGACCGCTTTGTTACCAAGGCTTTCTTTCATACGTTTGATCGGCCAATAAAAGAGTGCTAGGAGGCTGGTGCGAGTAGTCGAACTAAGATGCGCTGGTAAGTGGCAATAAGGGATCTCCAGAGGTTAAGGAACGGCCACCGCCTCCGAAGTGCGCCAATGCTCAAACGGCGCATCTAACCTCACTCACGGCCCTACTCCTAGCGGCTGCAGCGGCGGCAGTGGCGGCAGTGCTCCCTCATCCCCTCGAATTTAGCTCCGCAGTTCACACGCAACACCGAGACTAGGTGGTCGTAGTACCGTTGTTTTTCCTGACGATGACGACAAGAAGTATTCCACGGTCAGGAAAAGGCCGCCCAATGGGCTACTCTAAATCTTCTCCACCCGCAAGGACAGTCTATGCACCTTGAGCCCCATAAAGAACCGAGAAGAGACTTCCATCTCGATAATTATTTGAGTGCAACAGAGGAGTTAGGAGCACCAAGGAGCCTCAAAGGAGCCGGGGAAGTGACCAACGAGGACGGCGATGGGTACGCAGAAGCCGGGCGAGTGGGCCAATTCGTTGATCTCACGTTTCGAGGATCAGGTATATGCAATTGTCTCGAATAATGTTGTGTGGTTCGATCACGAAGTTGAGAAACTCTTTGGCCAATGAGGAAAAGTGCCTCCTTATTTAGGGCTTAGGGCAGATCTTGTCATTTTCAAAATTTCATTAGCTATTACAATTTTCATATTTTATAGCTTAAAATGCTCAATTCACGGGCTTATAATTATTATGAATTGATGCAGCATGTAATCCATTGTTGTTTTTATTATGGAACTTTGAACGAATGCTTTTAAAGTCTTGTTAAATTCAATTAAGATCGTTCCCAAAGATTGCCAAGCTCTTTTGTAAAATTTTATTTTCATATAAATTTTGGGAGTTTATTTCGATATTTACATTCCTAGTTAGATAAATTTTGATCATACGTGATATAATTATTTTCAATGTTTCCCCTACTCATAGTTATTGTATATACTTGTTTCTTTGAATAATCTTCAGATATGAATGACCTTTTATGATGTCAACATTGCAGGAGTACAATAGTATTATTCAAATTTTATTTAATAACGATAGTTTTTAATATTTACTTATTAAAAACAAATTTGTATAAAAATAATATTTTTGTAATTTTTTATTGAACAGTTATAAAATTATTAAAGTAAATAGTTTATTATATAATTTATATTCCAGTTTAGTATTTTCTTTTTAAGTAGAGAAATTTTCATTCCAGTGATACTGAAAAATTTACATAATTTGGAATATACTGCAAAATAAATAAGGCAATTGAATTAAAAATAATCGTTATAAGATAATTTCAACATGTATAAAGATTTATGAGAAAAAGAGAGAAAACTATTGTCGTAATTGCTTGATTAATATATTATAAGATCTTATTATTAAATACTACAATACGTACATTAGCAGAAGTATCAATATTGATCAGAAAGTAATAGAAATAAGTTAAAATCATAAATATATTTATTTGAAAGTTAAAATATCTCGAATTAAATTCAATATGTTGTACAATTACATATTCCTCTCTCTCTCTCTCTCTCTCTCTCTCTCTCTATATATATATATATATATATATATATATATATATATATATATTTGTAATTAAGCTTTTAAGTGTTAATAATAGAATTTATGAGGATTCATATAAAGTGATTCATTGCAGTTCGATTGTATTAATTTTAACTTTATGAGGATTTAATTTTATTTTGTCTTTGTTTCATAACTAAGAGTACTTGCATCACAGTTCTAAAATACATTGTATAGATCTTAACTATTTGTTCTATATATTTTTATTCAATTTTTTTTTACTTCGCATATTATTAATTAAACAACAAGTATTAATTACTTATAAATGAATTAATACAAATTATGGATGCTTAAACGCGAATCTAAATTATTTATAACAATGTTCAAATTCACTGTCATTGATTTAATAAAAGAGATGATTATGTGTAAGAAACGTAATTTTCATTTTACATTCTCAAGCAGAATATTGAAAGTTGTCTTAATATATAATTTAAAAGCTATTTTTACACATGAATAATTATGTGAATTCTTATCATAAACATAGATTTAAGTAAAGGTTGAAAATTTTGATAAAAAATACCAACAAATTTAAATGTTATGTTATTTTTATTATTTTATATTTATATTTTTTTATTGCTTATAGAATTTTTATTGTTTATATAAATTCATTTGTATTTACTTTTGTTCAATAAAAATTCCTTTCATATTTTATAAAAAAATATATTTTCGATTAAGAGTATGTAAAATGGCATATAACAAATAATATTTTAAAATAAACATAGATATAAGCTGTTATTAAAAAATTTAGGGATATTAAAGTATGTCTAAGCCATAATTTAGGTTTTAGTACATATTGAAGATATGCAAATTTAATTGGTTTCTACAAGTTTCAAATTGTTAGAAATGGAAAAGTATTAATTTTGGAAAACTATTTTTTAATTTTTAATTTCTTCTCCAGTCATTTAAAATATTGGTAAATTAATTTGATGCATTAAATTATAATATTTAAAAATTGTATAAATACATGAATCTTTATTTTTATTAAAAAAAATTATATAAATTTTTATTTGTGTAATTAAATGAAACGGTATTATTCTCAACAATGGAACAAAAATTGCAATAATCAATAAAATAACATTCAAAATAAAATATATTTTTGCATAATTTTTTTAATATTTGCACGATTTTTCTTGGCAACTACTTTTGTTTTCGTTTTATATATGTATATATTCTCATTTATATACGATACGTATACCGTTTTTTGTGGTCAAGAGTCGAGTGATTGTTAAATTCAACGAAGGGAAGGGAGTTTCCTGGCGCCATCATTGCTTTCCTTATATGTCATGTTTCGGCTTCATTCCTTTCGAAATTACAGACGCATTTCTCTAAATGTGTAAATTCAAGCAAGAGGAAAAGTACACTTTTCGCATTTCTTTTATTGTCTTATACTAATTTTAAACAAAATTTTCGTGATTTACTTACCTTTTCGTATATGGTATTAAAATGTTTATTAAAATTATAATAACTTGTAGCTATTGTACATTTTAGTCATTATTTATGACATTATTAATATTATTTTAAAGTTTACAATAGAATAGTAGAATTAACATTTATTAATCAATTTCCTATTTTTAATCCGACTTTTTAAGCTAATAGTTTAAAAAAAGGATAAATAAATAAATAAAGCAAAATAAAACTTTGAGAATATTTTTTTACGATGAACATTAATTAAATTTTATTTTACCCAATCAACAGATTTTTAATTATTAAAAATCTTAAAGTTACATGTATATCAATAACAATGTAAATATTAGAATATAGATTATAAGTATAATATAAATGCTATACAAATAAAGGTATTCTGTATAAAATAAAGTTATTTAGTATTTTATAAGATTAAAATATATAAATTCATATATATTAAACAAGAACAAAATATATCATTAATTTTTAACTAAGATCTTATAAGTATTTTAAGATTAAGTAACTAAGTAGTTAAAAAATAAATATCTTATTATTAATATTAAGAATTTTTACATTCCTGTAGCAAGAGATTTTAATTATAAATTATTGATTTTATATAAATTTTATCCTGTTTCCCTAATAAATGTGTAGTTTTGTAAACGAAATATTTCTGTACAAAAAGTCAATATTATTTCGTTAAATTATATTTGAAATTTGTTAAAAAAAATTATTTTAATACAAAATTATCCACATTTTAAACCTACTCCAGGACATAAATAATAATTAATTAAACATTTGACCAATGCTCAATGTGTTGGCATTCATTTATATGAAGATAAGAGATTTCGATGCTTTGATAAGCATCATCTTTTATGCGGAATTACATTGTTAATTATAATAGTTTATTTTCTTCTACGATATGTAATTTATAAATACGTATCACATAGTACAGACACTTTATTTCCTTCAGTTATATCTAAAAACTTAAATAAAAATTATTTAATATTAACAATGTGAGAAAATAAGTTATATAAATGTAAATGAACAGTGTAATATAATACTATTCTTTCGTCAGATGTATTAATGAAATTACTTTATTAATTATTTATGATAATTGAATAAATTATTTTTATTTATTTTATTTATCATTTAATATAAACACTGTAAATGTATAAAACTAATTCAAAATTTCAAATAAATATAAGATAATATCATATTCAATATATGTAAATATCTTTATAATCGTAATTTCTTCAGGGTTTTAAATCATTGCATCAATAAAATTTAATGTAGTAAAAGATAATCCAGGCAGTTTTTTATCTTATTTTTCTTTTGAAAAATACTAAAAGATAGTGATAACACTATCCTACATTAGCGAAAATCTCTGATTAATCTTGTAAGTAGATGAGACAGGAAGGGAAATAAGCCAGGGGAGTTTAAAAATGAAATGTGCAAGTGTAAACAGTGGGGAAGCCGGTAAAAACTTGTGTATCAGCCCTCTTACTCGCTCTCCTACATTCATTCATTACATACTTCACCTACTTGACCTTCTCCCGACCGAGCATCCCTTATTGTGTTCTACATTCACGCGGTTTTCGGCTCCCGTCCATTCACCTGCGCACGCGCATACCACATCTTTCTCCATTGACCCATTTGATTTTTTCTCCGTGTGTGTAGTATCTTGTCGAATCCCAGGCTTCGAAGGGAGCAAGTAAAAACATAATGGAGATTCACCCCTCCAGTGTAGCTTCTATTTTGCAAAATCATTGGAAGGTTCGGGAATCGTTTATGTCGTGTTACGAATTCCCACGATGTGGGGGAGGAAGATTTCGTAAATGCGTTGTCAGTTTAAAGTTATTTTTCTATTATGGGGGTATAGATATCAACTTGGAATAATCCATGTCCCAGCAACTCTTTTTCTTTACATAAAAGGGAATCGTTTGCTTATATCTATAATTTAAAACACGTTAAAGTATATTTTATTTTAATCATTATCATAGAAGCTTTTTGTCATTTATATTTTGAAGGTTTAATTTGTTTTTGCATTATTAATTATTAAAAGGCTTATGCATTTGTAGTTAGTTATAGCTTCATTTGAAAAAGACTTTAAATCTTTTAAAACGTTAGTCTAGTTTTAAAAATAAAGGTATGCTATTGTTGTATATACATTTTAGTAGTAATATTCATTTACGACAAATTTGAGTTAATAATAATAATAATAGTAAGTTATTTTAATATTCCGAGTAAATAAATAAAATACAATTTAATTTTTTTAACATAACATTGATAGAAAAATCAACGATTTACAAATGATATCATATACAGAATAACAATTAAATAATTAGTAACGATATAAATTTTATATATAAATTTTATATATAAATTTTATAACGATATAAATTTTTATTTGCTCCTTCAAATTGTTTCAATTAATAAAGGAGCGTTAGACATTATATTTTTATATTTATATTTTATATTTATAATTATATTTTTCTGTAATTTTTAAAATGAATTACAGAAAATTATTTTAGGCATTAATAAAATTTTTATAAAGAGGATTTATAAAGACATAATTATGATTTCAATTCAAAATCAATTATTTATTTTATATTTTTACATTCATTCAGTTTTTTAATTTGTCATCGTATTCTTGTAAATATTCAATTTTGTATTATATATTAAATTCATTTTTTACGATGCTAATATTAATTTGTATTATTTAATTTATTTTTAGTATCAGTATATAAATTATTTTGTTTTCTTTTTATACTGCTGACATTAGTTATGTATAATTTTTTTTTATTTTGTACTATTTCTGAAATTTGATGTGCAACATACTATTAAAAAATTAATGATACCCCTATTTATAAAGCAATTTAATTCTTTTTGTTTTAGTTTTTTAATATAAGTGTAAATATTTTTTAATAACTTTAAATATTTTTTCTTTGTTATTATAGCTTAAAAAAATTTTATACTTTAGGAGAAATTTTTTCATTCGTTTCAAATTATTTTAATTTTTAAGTGAAAACTAATATTGTAATTATCAATGATTTTTGTTACATTTGTTAATCGAGTTCATAGACAGACACACACGCGCGCGCGCATGCATATTTAAGTGTATATACATTTGTTCATATATTAATCGCTTTTACTAGCATACTTACCTAAATTATGGTTAAATTTCATTAATCAAATTAAAATTGTGGATTTAATTTGTTCAACTTAAGTTGAAAACAATATTCCATAATACATTAGTTAAATTTTTTATTTTATTTTAATGTTTCTAATTTATTCCAATAGATTTTATATTAAAATTAGAAGTAGGCTTTACCAGATAACTTTTGTCTTTTACTTCTATTGATTTCTGTAATTTCTGATTAAAAATCGTTATTTCAATAATAAATTTCGATATCAGTATTTTAACACTAAATTTATATGTGATTGTTTATAAAATTGTATTTATATGTGTTTGTATATTTGTTATTAAATAATGTTTTCATAATAATAAGAATTAAGTAAATATTTTGCACTAAACTGTGCCAAAAAATGTACTAGTGTATTTAGATTTGATTATAAATCATGCTTGAAAAAAAAGTTTATTAAAATTTTATATTTCCTATCATATGATAGGAATTTAATTAAAAATATTTTAACTGGTGTAAGTAATGTTATTAAAGCTAATAAATACCTTAGTATTTAACATAACCCCCTCATTTGTGTCTTATAAATATGCCATCGATAATATATATAAAGCCTTGATTAGAATAAATAAACGTAGTAATTAAAAAATACAACATTTCAAGGTATTTTACATTAAGTTTGTGATTTGCAGTTGCCTTGCCGAGCCGGTCCTCAGACTACGCATTCCCGTTTAAATGAGGAAAAGAACAAGAAATGCCTGATTCAGATATCGCGGCATCGCTTTTTTCTCGTAATATCCGGCCTCACCAATATTCTTAAGCGCGTGAACGAGAGCGTGCAGAGTGGTGCTGGGGGCCAACGTTCGTTCCACTCTACGGATCAAGACAGGCATTGTTATGAGTCCATCATAATAGTCCTCGATACTCTCGAGCGTTGTCTTGCTAATCAGCCCAAAGATACAACGAAATTCGAAGAGGCCATGAACGTTAAGCTTTTGCTGCGTGAAATTTGCCAGTTCATCGGTAAGTAATATTGGTCTCGATCGCGCGCGCGCGCGCATCCTTTACATAGAAATTGATCTCTAGGACAATGAATAATTCAATTTATTCCATCGTATTGGCATCCTAGTCATTTTAATGCTAGTCATATTAATAATAGCTCAAGTTGATTTTGTGAGCTGACATTGTTCTTTGTCATTCGTTTAAATGAAAGAGCGATCGAATGGTCAAGATTTACGTCTTTAGTCATTACAAAAATACAGAATGTTAATTCATGAAATCTTGACCGAAATGGATCCGAGAATAAAACTTATATATGATAGGTTATTTCATTAGAAAATACCTCTATATTTGATTTCCAAAATCAAGGCATACGTTTCAAGGTTTATTTTAATAGTTTGTAGATGTTTTAAAAATTAAAAACTTTAATATATTTTTTCTGTATCTATTATCAACAAATTGTTTTCTCAATATTTTTAACATTACTGAAAAGTAAATTTCGAGTAAAATTATTTGGAATTTTTATTAATAGATATACCAAACGATAGTTCACAAAATACTCATCTAAAAAATTTGGCCAGCAAAGTCCTGTTTGCTCTGAGCTTAAATTTCTTCAGTGCCGTATTCAACCGCATTTCTGCTCGTCTTCAAGAACTCTCAGTTTGTGTAGAAGAAAATCCAGATTACAGTGATATCGAACTCATTCAACATATTAATGTTGATGTCGATAGACTCACCAAACTCTTAAATGGTACAGTATAGATTTGTAACAACATTACATTTACAATTTACTACTAGTAAACTATTTATTAGATATACAGTTACTACATTTGCTACACTCGTAGTTATATGTACCGTATTACAAGGTAGTGAAATTTCCTTTACTTTTTGCAAATTAAATTTAAAAATATTTCTTAAATACCTAATTTACAAACAACTATTTACTTTAGTTTTTTTTAAATAAAAGTATAATGTAGATTGAATACAAATGTTATAGTTTCAATTATTTAACAAGAGAATTAAAAAAAAAATCAGAAACAACATACGTAAAATAAAGTTATTGATAGTGTAATAATGTTTTTCCTCGTAGAGGCAAATCAAAAATTTCGACAACTTAAGAAATCAGCGCATTTCGTTTTGATGCATTCATTGGAAAAAGCCATATGGAACTGGATGGATACATACCCGCAAGAGTTCTGGAGCCTTCAGAGGAAATCGAACGAGGAGCTTGTAAAGGCTTGTGGTGAGCTCTTCGACATTCTCGATGCATTTGCTGATAATAAAAAGGGTCGGGCTGCTGCTGTCTGGCCACTTCAGATAATGCTGCTCATACTTTCACCGAAGGTTCTCGAAGAGGTCGTTAATACGGACACGGGCACACCGTACTCACCCGAACACAAGAAGAAGAAATGTTTCATTGATAGCGTGAAGAAGAGTCTTGTGATGCACGGTGGTTCGAATCGACAACTCGTCGAGGCAGCGGCTCTCACTTGCATTAAGCTCTGTAAAGCTTCTACTTACGTGAGCAATCTCGATTCGACCAATATCATATTCACCTTAGTACAGTGTGTTATGAATGATCTAATCCCTCTACTCTTCAATCCGAACAAGCCTTTCTCGAGAGGCCAGAGCTACATAAGTCATGACGTTGATCTTATGATCGATTGTTTCGTTAGCTGTTTTCGTATCACGCCTTATAACAATGAAGTTTTCAAAGTCTGTCTAAATCTCAATTCACCTTCTACATACCAGTTCGTGCTTATCAGCTCTTTGTACAAGTAAGTTCATTTATTTATCGTTTTAATGCTTTCGATGTAACGAATTACCATTACACTTAATCGTCAATTAGCATAAGAAGGGAGAAAAATTTGTTACATTGAATAAAAATTTGCTCAAATTAAAGTTATTAAATAAGATTTATTAATATTTTTATAAATTTGCATTTTTTTTAATAAATCTTGTAAGACATACACATTTTTATACTTTCAAGTAAGCTTATTATTTTTAAATTTAAGTTTTAATTAAAATCAGTCACTTCATATTGTAAATTGTGATTATGGTATAATATACATGAATTATATTATTATTTTTATTATATTTCGTTTACGCTATAATAGTTCAAAAAAATTTATATCTGAATTGTTTTAATTAATAACATACATTGTTGTTTTTAGAATCGTTACTCAGGTCAAATTACCATGGTGGCCGCAAATCGATCTCGTTTATTCGCGAAGTGCCGAATTGCGAAATATGTTTACGGACACCTTAAATAAAGTTACTCAAACGTACATATCGCATACACCATTACGCATGATTCAGAGCTTAACATTAAAAAGCAAGGAACAAAATAAATATAAGGATCGAGGCGAGGAGGTTTCAAGTTATAAAAATCTTTTGCTCTGGATGGTTCGACTCATACACGCAGATCCAATGCTTATGTTAAATGTATGTATGTATATATATATATATATATATATATATATATATATATATATATATATATATAATTAATAATTATTGTGCAGGAAAATGAATTTTTTTTATTGAAGCATTTACAAAATCTTTGAATTTGGTGTATAATTATAATTAAGTTTAATTAGATTGCCTAAAATAGTTATTGACTATAAAATTCAAACGAACAAGTGAATTATAAAAACATATAACAATAGCTTTAATATTTCGTTTTAACAATATACATATATTTAGTAATAAATGAATAATGGATTGTAGAAATTGTTAATTGTTTTTACAGAATAAAGATAAGACAAGTCATGAAAATCAAAGTTCGACATTGGAACTGATCAACGGATTAGTTTCTCTTGTACATCAAACAACAATGCCAGATATTGCACATGAAGCAATGGAAGCTCTTCTTGTACTCCATCATCCTGACAAAATCAAGGCTTGGAATCCTGAGGCGCCAATCAACACCTTCTGGGATGTGAGCTCGCAGGTCCTTTATTCTATCTCGCAGAAGCTCATTCAACACCAAATTGTAAATTATACAGACATACTCAAGTGGTTAAGGGAAATACTCATTTGCCGCAATATTTTTCTTTCGCAAAACAAAGACTATGCTAATGTTGGTAGTCAAGTGGCTATTTGCAAACAAGCGCACGTTAAACTTGAGGTATATAATATATATGCACACGTAACACTAAAAAAAAATAAAACCTTTTAAATTTAAGTTAGGAAAAAATATCTTGTAATATACGATTCTTTTAACAATCACATATTAAAATTATAAATTTCTAGTATGGTATCTAATAAGAATTGTAAAAATAAGAATAGTACTTATATAAATATTTCTATAATAATGAATTTATTTATGAATATAATAAATCAATTTTCAGGTTGTTTTCTTTATGTATTTGTGGAGTATCGATATGGAGGCAGTACTTATTGCAATGTCTTGTTTTTCACTTCTTTGTGAGGAGGCTGAAATACGATGCGGTAGTGATGAGGTAGCTGTCACCTGTTTATTACCGAACTATCATTTGTACCTCGAATTAGCACAAGCTTCAACCGTTCTAACAACTGGTAAATTGCATTTAATAATTAAATATTTTATTCATTTAATGTTATTTAATATATTAAAAAAACAACAATTTTGAAGAATATATTTTATAACAGCCAGCGGAGAGAGTAGGATTTGCTATCATGAACGCAATCGCGGTGAGTTTCTTGTCACGCATTCAGTAACGTCGGTTAAGTAACCGATGCTCAGAGGTGAAATAATACTTTGCAGTTATGATTTCTATTACATTAGATTACTTTAATAAGTCTTTATTAAGCTTAACGTGATTTGTACTTGAGCATTTAATTTAATTTTAATTAGTAATCATTTATGCAGTTAAGAAAATCAATAATAGGTATTTTATATTGGTTAATGTAGTACTGAAAACAATTAACAAGAAACAATTAACGAAGTTTTCAATTAAGTATTTTATATAGATTAAATAGAGTAATTTATTATTTAGACTGTTAACAAAACAATGTAAATAGATATAACAATCAACATCATTACTGCCTATTTCTATAATTTTTCTCATTCTCTCATTCTCTCATTCTCTCATTCTCTCTCTCTCTCTCTCTCTCTCTCTCTCTCTCTCTCTCTCTCTATACCCATTTAAAGGTTTATAAGTACTTATAATATATTATATTTTTTGTGGTTTAATATTATTTCTAGGTCGTGCAGCATTGCAGAAAAGAATAATGGCTCTTTTGAGAAAGATCGAACATTGTGCTAATGGTATACAACCTGTAAGTAATTTTTTTTTCTCTTAAAATAATTAATGATTTAATATTGTAGTTAATCTTCGTAATATGTTCGTCACATATAAATCTTTGTATTCAGTATTTCATTTTGATATCTAAGAAGAATATTGTAATAAATTAATAAAAAATAAACATAATGAGCAAGATATTCTACAAATATAATTATAATTAATAAATTGAAAAACATTATTCATTACATTTGCATAAAGCTTTAGTATTATGGTTAAATAACTTGTTATTTTTCAGGCATGGGATGAGACTTTCCGCAATTGGGAGCAAACTTGTCGTCAGTTAACGAATTATCCGAAAATGAAAGCCGAGGATGGGCAGGTCGAATCGTTTCATCGCAGTGCAGGAAAGCGCCGTGCCTCGCACCAGAATTCCGAGCACGAGCTTGAGGATCAAATAAACGAATGGGCAAATATGACGGGATTTCTTTGCGCTCTCGGTGGTGTCTGTTTACAGCTTCGATCGCCCAGGAGACCGCTATCGGGTCTGAGCTCAGGTATCGAGTTTAAAAAATCGGGAAAACTACAGCAGCAGCAGCAGCAACAGCAGCAGCAACAGCAGCAGCAACTTCAGCAACAGGATAATGTATTACTTTTATCGAATTCCAATCAGGAGGTGCAGTATTGTTCCGTTACGCAATTCGTCTTTAATTTATTGCGACTTCTTATCTGCAATAATGAAAAGTTTTGCCCACAGGTGAGATATATTTTTGATTTTCAAATTCCAACAAAATGCAAAATTAATTATTTTCTCCAAACTCTCAGGAAATTAAAGTCATTGTGAAACGTGTGAGTCTGAATATTTAGCAAAATTATCATTCATTTTCATATTATACATTAAAAGTATATAGATTACAAATAATATTGAATATATATATACATATATATATATATATATATATATATATTCTTCATTCGTTTATGTTGTGTATCTAATTAAATTAAATTTTTAAAAAATAAATAAAAATTCACAAAGATTCTCAAAGTTAATTTGTATTTTTATATCGATAATATAAGATACATCAATGTAAAAAAAGTATTTATACTTAAAGTTGAGTGGGTTCACAGATACAAAAACACGTAAAAGAACTAGTTGGCCACGAGATGAGTCCAGCTCTGTATCCTATTCTATTTGACCAAATAAAGAGTATTGTTGAGAAGTTCTTCGACCAGCAGGGTCAAGTTATATTGATAGATGTAAATACGCAGTTCATTGAACACACTATTTTCATCATGAAGAATGTCTTGGATTCGAAAATGGACCAACCCTCGGAGTATCTAGGGATGACTAGCATTGAGGGAATGACGCTGGCTATCGTGCGCTATGTACGTCATCTCGATATGACAGTTCACACGATACATATCAAGACGAAATTGTGTCAGTTGGTGGAGGCGATGATGAAGCGCCGCGACGACCTGGCATTCAGACAGGAGATGAAATTTAGAAATAAACTCGTTGAGTATCTCACGGATTGGGTCATGGGAACAACGCATCCCATAGCACCTTCGGCTAGTAACGATGTTACCATTATAACTAGGTAATGAGAGATATTTTCTATTTTAATATGTTATACGGTTTAATAAATGTATAACAGAATTAAAATTTACTTACAACAATCAAATTCGATTCAATTAACTAATTGTTGCAATATTTTGCTTATCACGATCGATACATATTCTATATAGATAATTTTACGTTTAATAATTAGTTATTACAATGTTTCACGAATGTTTTTACAGTAACACATATTGTGCTCTAGATAGGAGACAGTATTTTAATATTAAGTATTTAAATATATTCATATTTGAAAATAAGAAATATACAAACAATTAGGTTTATTAAAGATTGTTATTAATCTTAAGATTAGTTAATTAAAAGATCTTGGAATTATTATTTAAAGTATATTTAAAATAAAAAATTAATTTTTATATTACATATACTACATGTATATTTGCTCATCATGCACGCATCATACATATAATTTAGATAGCAATTATAATCGATATATTTATTATAATTAATTCGAAAAAGTCCAATTTAAATTCCCAAATGTGAAAAATATTGTATAATTATTTTTTTGTAATTATAAATTTTATAATATGCATTTATAAATATTTTTAAAAGAAATTCTAGTAATAAATTTAATAAATTATCATTACAGTAAAGTGAAATAAAAAATAATAAAAATAGAAACAAACATCAACTTCCGCTCTACTTAACTTCTTTAATTCATTATTTTTCAATACGTTTGCTAAACGTATTATTCTATACCTAAACTATAAGGACATTGTTCTACGTATCAGTATATACTTCAGAGAATTGGATCAAGCTTGCATGGAGGCGGTTGGTGCACTGTTACGTGGTCTACCGCTGCAGCCCGAAGAGTCCGATCGAGGTGATTTGATGGAAGCCAAGTCTCAACTTTTCCTCAAATACTTTACCTTATTTATGAATCTCCTAAATGTCTGTAATGATGCCGCTGCCGAGGAGAAGGAGGTCATTTCAAAGCAACGATTAACTACCGGTAAACTCTCTACCTTAAGAAATGCCACTATTCAGGCTATGAGCAATTTGCTGAGTGCAAATATCGATAGCGGTTTGATGCATTCTATCGGTAAGTACCAAGTGCTTGCGATACTTCTATATAATAATTATTTCACTTGGACGTCAATTTTTGTCGATATTGGAGTGTGTAACGAAATTATACATTCGGGAGAATCTATTATTATTTTATTTAGAGTTAATTAAAAACATTTCCAAATACATTTTTACATCATCATGTTTTATATTGAATATAAATATATTGAATTTTAACGTCTGATTTTAATATCTTCGACTTGCATATTAAATTGGTAGCTCCATAAATTTTGATTTACTATACAAAATATATAAATGATGATTTTCAAATAAAGCACCACTGTATTATTTTCCAGTATTGGGATATGATCGGGACTTTCAAACGAGAGCGGCATTCATGGAGGTCTTGACGAAGATCTTGCAGCAAGGTACCGAATTTGACACCCTGGCTGAGACAGTGCTGGCAGATCGCTTTGAGCAGCTGGTTCAGCTCGTTACTATGATAAGCGACAAAGGCGAGTTGCCAATCGCAATGGCTTTGGCCAACGTCGTCACAACCAATCAAATGGATGAGCTTGCACGCGTCTTCGTTACTCTCTTCGACGCTAAACATCTGCTCTCGCCTCTCCTCTGGAATATGTTTTATCGCGAGGTTGAGGTTTCAGATTGTATGCAGACGCTTTTTCGTGGCAACAGCCTCGGCAGTAAAATTATGGCATTTTGTTTCAAAATTTATGGTGCGAGTTATTTACAGAGTTTGCTCGAGCCCTTGATAATGCCTTTGCTTAGTGATCCATTGACTTGCTTTGAAGTGGATAGCGCAAGAATAGATGTCAACGAAGACATTGAGCAGAACGGCCGCAATCTCGTTGCTCTCACTCAGAAGGTTTTTGATGCTATTGTGTTATCTGCTGAAAGGTAGGATATTGAAATAGGAATATTGAAATCTCCAACTCACTTTTCATTGTATAAAATAGTTGCAAATCTTAAAAAAGCAACCTAATCGACCCAATATTTCATAAATATATTTACTAATATGATAAATACAAAAAATCTGATCTGATTCTGATCATAAATTTATTTTAATTCATTCTAATGTTAAATTAATTTTCATAGGCTATTTAAATTATAAATACATTTGCACATTAATTAGAATGATAGTGTAAAATTTACGATACACGCGCATGCGTGTACACATACGCATACATACACACACACACACACACATATAAACGCAAACAAATAAAAGCAATTTCATAATTTATTAAAGCATAAATTATTTATTTTGATAACAAAAGTGAAATTCTTATTTTGTATTTATAAAGGTTTTATCACTCAATTCAAAGGAATTATAGTAAAATGCATTTATTGTAAATTTATTATTTTTTATCCATTAATTGATAAAAATGTCAATACTAATTTTGTCAATACTAATGTTGATATAAATAACAGTTTTATAGATATTTAAATAATGTACTTTAATATCACTTCAGCATACATTAATTCAAACATCACACGTTTCTAAAATAATTAGTTTCTTCTGAGATTACATAATTAAGTATATGCATAGAGTTTATAATACGCATCGAAATGTGGTGAAAAATAATTTTCCGTTTCTTTTCCATGATAGGTTTCCACCACAGCTACGCTCAATGTGCCACTGTTTGTATCAGGTGCTTAGTAAACGCTTTCCCCAGTGCCCACAGAACAACATTGGCGCCGTTGGAACCGTTATCTTCTTGCGCTTCATTAATCCGGCTATAGTCTCACCCCAGGAAATGGGAATCGTGAACAAAAGTGTGCCACAGTCAGTGAAACGCGGCCTCATGCTTATGTCGAAAATTCTTCAAAATATTGCCAATCACGTGGAATTCAGCAAAGAACAACACATGCTGCCTTTCAACGACTTTCTGCGTGTTCATTTTGAAATCGCTCGACGTTTTTTTATACAGATCGCCTCGGATTGTGAAACCGTTGATCAAGCCAACCATCCTATGTCATTCGTCTCTGATGCTAATGTTCTTGCGCTTCATCGACTGTTATGGAACCACCAAGAACGTATAGGTGATTATTTGAGTAGTAGTCGAGACCACAAAGCCATGGGAAGAAGACCCTTCGATAAAATGGCCACACTTCTAGCATATCTTGGACCACCTGAACATAAACCTGTTGATTCACAGTAAGATTGGAAAATTTTTTTGGTTAGATTTCTTGGACAATTTTTTCGTTGGAATATAATTTTATTCTCCAATTATTAAGTCTTTAATTATAGAAAATTTAATAATTATTCACAAATTAAATTTCAATATGCTAATTAAAGAACTTATTACTACCCAGAAATATTTTAAATTGTTAAATAAAATAATATTTATTATTTATTATATATATATATATATAATTTACTATTAATATAAAATTTTCCTGTATTTATTGCAATATATTCAATATGTCTTTTTAATTCGTTTTATTAATAATTTTTTTTCATATTAATCAACAAGTTTTAAATATTTTATTATTTAACTGACTGGAAATTATAATTATTAATTTATTTTCAAAATATAATTCCTGGTATTAAAATTATTTTTAATTTTATTTATTTCAGTTTATTATTTTCATCATCGTATGCTAGATGGTCTAGTATTGATATGTCCTCTACAAATTTCGAAGAAATAATGGTGAAACATAATATGCACGAGAAGGAAGAATTTAAAAGTATAAAAAATCTTAACATTTTTTATCAAGCGGGAACTAGTAAACAAGGACACCCAGTTTTCTATTACATTGCCCGAAGATACAAGTACGTACTTAATTTTACTTTATTAGAATTTTTGTTGAAAATTGAAATTTCGAACTTTTCTTTTTTTTAGGATTGGTGAAACGAACGGTGATCTCCTTATATATCATGTACTTTTAACGTTAAAACCGTTTTGTCATTCGGCCTTTGAACTCGTTATAGACTTTACGCATACGTGCTCAGATAATCGCTTTCGAACGGAATTTCTACAGAAGTGGTTTTATGTATTACCGGAGGTCGCTTATGAGAATATTCACGCGGCATACATCTACAATTGCAATAGTTGGGTGCGTGAATATACCAAATATCACGACCGAATTTTAGCACCGCTCAAGGGTAATCGTAAAGTGGTGTTTGTAGACGGACCTAGTAAACTTAATGATCTTATCGATCTCGATCAGCAGAAACTACCGGGTGCTACACTTTCACTTGACGAGGATCTCAAGGTTTTTCCGAGTGCGCTCAAACTGTCACACAAGGATACGAAAGTCTCGATAAAAGTTGGCCCCACAGCGATACAGATTACTTCATCAGAAAAGTGTAAAGTTCTTTCACATTCGGTTTTTCTCAATGACGTTTACTATGCTTCCGAAATCGAAGAAGTGTGTCTTGTTGACGATAATCAGTTTACACTTACGATTTCAAACGAAGCCGGTCCTTTATCTTTCATACATAATGACTGTGACAGTATTGTCCAAGCAATTATTCATATTCGTAATAGGTATGTACATTTCATTACTTTAATTATTTAAATAGACATAAAAAGCGTTTTAAATAAGCGATAAGTGTGTAGGTTCGTAAATATGAGATCTCTGGTTCGAACATCTTATAAATCAAATTAAAACCAATTATCATTTATTTTACTTAATTCTTGCGATATAATTTAAATAAAAAATGTTAAAAGTTTTAATAAATTTTCGCATTATATAAGTACTTTAGATCAGTATTTTAATACTATAAATTAGTTGTTTTTATCGTAAAAAATATATATTTTTTTATTAGATAAATAATTAATAATTATAAAATTGAAAATAGATGGGAACTTTCTCAACCGGATTCAATGTCAGTTCATCCAAAGATTCGACCCAAAGACGTTCCAGGTACACTTTTAAATATGGCTCTCTTGAATTTAGGTAGTTCTGATCCCAATCTGCGCACAGCTGCTTACAATCAATTATGCGCTTTGACTGCGACTTTCGATCTCAAAATTGAAGGACAACTTCTCGAGACCTCGGGTCTCTGCATTCCTTCGAACAATACTATCTTTATTAAACATCTAAGTGAAACTTTAGCTGCAAATGATCCACATCTCACTCTGGAATTTCTGGAGGAATGCATACAAGGTTTCCGTTCTTCGACGATCGAACTGAAACATCTTTGTCTGGAGTATATGACGCCTTGGTTGAACAATCTCGTGCGATTCTATAAGCCAAATGATGAAGGCGGCAAACGCCAGAAACAAGTGAATCATATTCTAGAAAAACTCATCACTTTAACAATCGAAGAAGTTGAGATGTATCCAAGTATTCAAGCAAAAATCTGGAGTACTATTGGTAGGTTCAATTGCCACGAAGGTAGCTTTAAACAGTCAAATTTGATCCATATAATTAAATAATTTAAATTTTCATTAAAATATTTTAAATAGTTAATATTTTATGAATGCATCCTCGGGTACCATATCATCTTAAATTGCATGGCATTAATATTTAAACAGGTAGACTACCAGATCTCATCGATACAGTTCTGGATAATTTTATTCACCGAAGCGTACAATACGGTCTTGGCTCTCCAATGGTTGAAATAATGGCGGACACCGCAGTTGCCTTGGCATCCGGTAACGTGCAACTTGTTGCGAAGAAAGTGATCGGCCGTTTGTGTCGCGTCGTTGACAAGACTTGCACTTCACCCACGCTGCTTCTTGAGCAACACATGATGTGGGATGATATAGCAATATTGGCACGCTACTTACTGATGCTTTCATTTAACAACTGCCTCGATGTGGGCAAGCACTTGCCATATCTTTTTCATACGGTGACATTTCTTGTGTGCTCTGGTAGCTTGAGTATGAGAGCCTCTACGCATGGACTTGTTATCAATATCATTCACTCGTTGTGCACGTGCAGCTCGCCGTCATTTTCCGAGGACACGTACAGAATACTTAGGATGAGTCTTGATGAATTCTCATTGCCGAAATTTTATTTACTTTTTGGGATCAGCAAAGTCAAATCCGCGGCTGTAACTGCCTTTAGGTTCGCATCAGATAGTTTGTTTTATGTGATTTAATATTTAAATTTTAATTGCATTTAATGAGACATCAAAATCTTAATTTATCGTATTATAACTATATTGTAAAATAAATCATTTTATATGTAATTAAATAAATTTTACTTTCGTTATTTGTGTACTAAAATTATCTATAATATTAATTTAACGTGAAAATAAATTTGGATACATGCATTTTAATAAACAAATTTATAATGGTATTTATTTAGCTTGTATGATTTATAAAAATAATAATTATTTTCATTGATTAATGAACAGTTAAAATATATAATAACCGAATAAACTACACTATTAAATGAATATTATATATCTAACTAAAATATTTCAACAAAATGATATTTAAAACTATACTGAATATTTTGTAGGTTGTTAATTTTAAAAATAACTTTAGTTGATGGTCGATAGTAAAGTATCGTTGAAAAATTTTGTATATGTTTGTTTCAGATCCAGTTATCGTTATTCAATGTGGTTTGGTAATGAGCGAAGCATTTGCAATGCTCAAGACCGAGAGAGACTTTCATTAACTAGTTTGGAGGTTATTACCGATGCTCTGTTGGAAATTATGGAGGCTTGTATGCGAGACATTCCGAAATGCGATTGGCTGCGGACGTGGACATCCTTAGCGAAGAGCTTTGCCTTCTGTTTTAATCCAGCGCTGCAACCTCGCGCGCTTATTGTGTTTGGCTGTATCAGTAAAAGCATCACCGATCAGGACATCAAACAGTTGCTACGTATACTCGTTAAAGCTCTCGAGAGTTTCAATGACATTACTCTTTTAGAAGCTATCGTTATGTGTCTGACACGATTACAACCTCTGCTGCGACCGGTGGGTATCACGATATTTCTTTTTTCATCTTTCAATCCATACGTTCAGCTTATTTACATTTAGGCTTATATACATTTAAAGCTTATTCCGGCCAACTGTGTTATAAATATTCTACATTATTAATCCGCACCTTACGATATTAAAAACAATAACAAGTAATTATACTTGATTCGGATATACGTATTAATATTAATCACTTATTATTAATTACTTACTATTAATTATTTGAAATATTAAATTTAGTTTTATCATAAATACTTTTTCAAAATTATTATTTATTATTATTTATTAATTGCTATATATTAATATGTGATTTAAAATAAAACAAGATTCTAGCAGTTGTTCAATTCAGTTGAACATGAAATTAATAATTCATTAATTTATTAACATAATAAAAAAAAATTATCAATGTAATTAAAACAATCCATTTATTTATATAGATTAATAATGATTATGAGATGTTTATAGGTATTATTAATTTTCTTTCATAGATTAATTTTTAGAAACATTAATTTCCTAATTTTGAATAATATAAGGCTAAAAAAAGTTTAACTAATCAACTAGTGCACATTGAGCATCATATATAAGGATTTGAATTTTTATCATAATCCAGAGATTTTTAAAGGTTTAACCATAAAATTTATATATATTTTTATTATATCATAAAAATTAATTAGCATTCATTCGTGTAGATTTCAGTCTTTACTTATTCAATTCATTCGGTTTTGCCAATAAATTTTCATTATTATTGAAGGTAATGTGGCTAATGAAAAAGTATTTTGAAATAAAATTTTTAAAATGTAATCATATTTCGTTAATTCCATTTATCAAGTAATTTATGAACCATTAAATTGTTAGAAATTTATGTTTTAAATTTATATTATTAGGCAGTAAAATTGTATTCAGTAATCTACTGTTTACTTCTTAGGCTGTTTTAGACATTCATATGTTGTCTGGTGCTCATTAAGTGTGCGAGTGAAACTAGATAAATATTTGAAAAAATTCGATTGTATGCGTATAATTATAACTTAGATTATGTACAGGAGTATTAATATAAGATAAATAGATCGAGAGAAATAAAGAGAAAGAGAACGTTGACATTACGAATGCCTGAAAATCAGTTTCATTTCTTGTATGAATTTTTAAATACGCTACTTTTGTCAGATTTTTCATTTCATATTTGTCTTTTTAATAAAAATATTTGGCGTTGCAAATTAAACTTAGCCATGTAATACACACAAAAATACAGAGTTGTAAAGTAAAGCTAATTAAAATATTAAAAATAATATTTACTTATTAACTGTCAGATAAATTTTAATTAAGAAGTATAATGTTTTATAAGCATTCAATTATACAATTTATAAAGAAAAACAAATTTTGGTGAATTTTATATGCTTTATTAGATATTTAGACTCTTAAATAAGTCATTATTTGCTATTAATAATATATAATCAATTGATGAAAGTAATAGATGATCGTAAAAATTGGATATTTTAATAATTTAAGAGAAAATATATAGTTAGTATATAGTTACAAATTAATTGATAAATAAAAAGGAGAATACAAATTAATTTAAAAATTTTTTAAATTTTAATAATAGGAGTCATCAATCCATCGCTTTCTTTTTTGGGTCGCGACGTCTGTACTCCAATTGGATGAGTCCTCGCTCTATGCATCAGGACTGGCGTTGCTCGAGCAAAATCTCCATACCCTAGACTCTCAAGGCACTTTCGACGATAAAACACTTGAGCGTGTGATGATGACAGTGCGTGAGCCCCTCGAATGGCATTTCAAACAGCTCGATCATGCAGTCGGCCTTTCTTTTAAATCCAATTTCCACTTTGCCCTGGTTGGACATCTTCTCAAGGGCTATCGACATCCAACACCAACAACGGTCACACGAACTACACGTGTACTCACAATGCTTTTAACTATAGTTGCCAAGCCATTAAGAAGGGACAAGTTTGAGGTCACGCCCGAGAGTGTCGCCTATCTCGCTGGCAAGTTTTTCTCATTTTTGCGCGATTAAGAATGATAGCAGCTTCATCTGATTTGACTTCCTGAAATAAATATTCTTCATTTTTTATTATAATATGGAATCATGAATTCATAATTACCATTTTCTCATTGTCTTAATTATTATTGTATTTTGTATAAATTCCCTTTCATTATGTAACTATTTATAATTCTTCTTTATCTTTATTATACGTATCGTTATTGCATTTAATAATTTTGAAAAAGTATTTTAATTAGAAACTTTGAGAAGTAATAACGATTATATTTTATTTTAGTTGAAAAATGTATTTTTTAAATAGTAGAATAGGTTGTTTTATTACAGCAAATTATTCACTGTTTTCTTTAGAAAGTACGGAAACTTAAAAATTGTTTTCACTAATAAGATTATATAACATTTAATCTAAAATTATCTAAGACGATAAAATAATTAATAATTAAAAATATATTATTAAAGATACTTTAATGACTATTTTATTTTTTATTTTATAAATTAAACGTAGTAATTATCGTCCATTAGGAATAATATACTTTTCATACTAATGAATTAAAGTGTTCATACAATACATGCAGAATTTTTAATGAAATCAAAGGATTATGTAATTTGTTATTTACATATGGAGGTTTTATATTCCATTTCAATTAAGGATTTGATTTCATAGCAGGAAGGCAGTATTATTTTATATAAAACTAGTGATTATTCAATAGTTATATAAATAAAATTAATTTTATTTAATATATTATTTAATTATATTTGATATATCGATTTCATATATATTTAATTATTCAAATGATGCTCAACTGATCAGATATATAATTCTAATTTTTAAATAGAAACAACAATATATAATATTTTATGATTATTTTACGTTTATACCATTATAATTTATTGGAAAAGAAACTAGTTTTCAAGAGATAATTATTTAAAAATTTAAAATAAGAATAGGCCTTAATTGTAAGTAATTTAAATAACTGCAGTTGGCAATTAATTATTTATACTTTGCGTATTCTTTGTTAATTTGTAAAAATATTAATTTGATATTTACATAAATTTATTATTTTTAGCTTTAGTATCTGTTTCTGAAGAAGTTCGAAGTAGATGCCATATTAGACATTCATTAAATCGAAGTATTGGTGAGTCGGGAAGTACAGACTTTTTGGATACTATTGATTTACAGTGTACGGTACGCGTTAATTTAAATACATTAAAATATTATTTAATTATGCACAATGACATTTTTGTATTATTTAATTATAACTACAATTCAATATCTTATATATTTTAGAATATTTCTGGTAGTACAATTAATCCAGCAAATCGAAGACAAAAATCTTGGGATATACTTGATCAAACAGCCATAAATCAAGCGAAACAGCAAAAATATCATCCTGTACATCATCAGGTATACTTACAATTTATCTTTAAAATAAATCATTTTAATTACTGTTGTGTATATTGATAGTGTGTATTAATGCTTGTTGTTAATAGTTTATTACATATAATAATTTTCTGATACAGTGGAAAAAGGCAGCAGAACAACGAATGAGGCAAATAACAGCTAGATCATAAAATAAAAATAATAATATATTTTAACAGGATAAATGGATAATTAACAAAAAAATAAATTTTGATTATGACGATATTAAACGAAAACGATAGTAAACACATACGATGTAAGATTATAGCGTGGATTAAAAGAGTTTTGAAATGCTTTTATAACATTTAACATAACATTTAATATATATACGACGCGTGAATTATTTATTTCTAGGGTCCACTTAAAAAATAAACCTTTTGAAAAATATATTCAAATTTACGAAATACTTTTATTTAAAATACAAAATTAAATTCTTTAATAAATACAAAACTATAGCAAATTATGTTTATTTTAAATATAAATTCAATAGTTTATTTATATATAAAAAAAATTTACTTATAGGATAAAAGTAAAATTATAACTAAAATTATAAAAATATGAATGATAAATTTATTTGAAAATTACATTTAACGGTAAAATATATTAAGTTTGTAGTTTCTGAATTAATAGAATAAGAAACAGTTCAGTGAAAGTTATGTGATTTAATTACATTTTGGAAACGTTTTGAGCACCCATATTTCATTTTTATCATATTGATATATATATAAAATAATAAATAATTGCAAACAAAACAAATCATTAATCTATAACATGAATTATTTATATTTAAAAATTTATGATAAATAAGTTAACATATTATAATTTTCATATATGTATATATTATTTTTTAAATATAACCAAATTTAATTCTAAAAAAGTAGGCATTTTATATCTTGGTAAAAAAAAACTAATTTATTTCTATGTACAATTGACGACATTGGTGTTTGCTTATTGCTGCTTCTGCTGCTATTATTACACTTATTGGAATTGCAAATATCACAAACATCATATTTAATCATACTGTGTGTAATTTATCCAATGACTCAATGCGACATGAAATTATTCTATCGTTAATAAGACTGGCAGAATTATGTTTAAAACTCAGCGCTCTTTCTCTATGCCATCGACCAAGGAAGTTAAGGCTGCCGAGGAAACAGAAGCAAAGGTAAAAATTTATAAATTTAAAAATTAAATATTTTAAAACATGCGTATGAAAAATGTAAAATTACTTTGCAGTGGGTACTTTAAATTTAAACATATATTCTATTAAATTAACAATACATCAGCAATATTTAATATTTTATAAAAATTTTTATTGTATAAAAAATAGTTTTCAAAAAGTAAGTGTATTAATTATTTTTGCAAAATAAAACTGAAAGACAAAACTTTAAATTTATTTCTTTTTAAAATTTATATTTCGGAATAATATTCTAAATTTTATAATAAAAATAGAAAGTAATTTGAAAAAATCTTTGTATGAAAATTAGCCTATTGACATTTAACTAAAAATAAAAAATTATAATTTTTTTCCCTTTATAATTAAGGTTAATCTTCATTTTTACTTGTTCCTTTCCATATTAAAAAAAAAGATTTTTAAGCATATGTCATGTTGCTTATTTATAATAATATATTTGATGATTTTGTCTAGAATCGCAGTACACGTGTCAGTGTGAGTAATGAAAATAATGTACTTCTCGATCCTGATGTATTGACAGATTTCTCAACACAAACCCTTGTATTAACTGTATTAGCAACACTCGTTAAATATTCTACCGATGAAAGCGAAACAAGAATTCTTTATGAGTATCTTGCAGAGGGATCTGTTGTCTTTCCTAAAGTTTTTCCAGTCATGTAAGTTTTTGGAATTCACTTAAGTGTACTTTTTTTTTATTCTAGTTAATAATAAACATTTTTCAAAACCTTAATTTGAATTTTGAATTTTGAAACCTTAATTACATATAAATAATACAATTCTTGTCAATATTAAAGGTTAAATAAAATAATTTTTTTCATTTAGTTTACCTAAATATAATTATTAAATGCATATTATCTAAAACATTAATTAAAGTATGAATTACATATAAGCATATGCTAAAGTACTAGTCATATTTTTCCTTATTATTTAAAAATGTATTTGTTTTTAAAAATAATCTTTTCATACATATTTATAATTTATCAATTTAAAAGCTATAACCGTATGAAATATAAATCCAAATATTAAGCTTTAATTCAAATTACAGTCATAATTTGTTAGATGCTAAAATCAATAGCGTTTTATCATCTTGCCATGATCAGGCAATACTCAGTTCGGTACAAGCTGTTATTCAAAATATGATTGCCTGTGAAGATACAAGTCAGCAGCAACTTCATTACTTACAAAGTTGCGGATTCGGTGGACTTTGGAGATTTGCTGGTCCATATACGAAGGTACCGAATATATTTTTCTGAACATTTTTGCATATACATTTATGTCAATTTATATGTATATATATATATTGTTTAGTGTAATCACACCGCAGAAAGTGCAGAGCTCTTCGTAAATTGTTTAGAAGCTATGGTAGAAACTTGCTTGCCAGTTGAAGAAAATGAAAGTATAAGTTATAGTGAAGCATCTATTAATACGACTAAACATTCTAATGAAAGTACACTAAATCGATCAAGCACAAACCTGTTGCAAGTAATTAAACCAGCCACTGAGCATGCTGAAGAAAACAATTCTTCTGTTATTGATTATAAAGAGTGAGTTTAATTATAATTTTATAAATATATTTGTACTTATAGTTGAATGGAAAGTAATAAATATAAATGTATACGAATGTAATTTCACAAAAAACTGATTTTAATTATTTATTATTTAGACAAAATATGGAACGAGCGATTAATGAAATAGACACTACAAGTCAGTTAACCTTGACTACTAATATAAAAATTTACCAATCCTAACAATTGTCTCAATGGGCTGGTAGTCAGATAGTAGATCGCATAATCAAGAATATTTCTCTTTAATATCATAGAATTGACAGAAGGTATATTATTAAAAAATTAGAAAATCAAGATTATAAAAGTAATTAAATGAAATTAAAATCTTATTATTTTATTATTAAATTAATATTTATTTTTAAAAAGGGGAGGGGCACTAATGGCTTAACCTACATGGTAGTATTTTTGAACATTTATTTATTTTTGTACTTTTTCAGTTTCAGAAATACATCTAGTAAACGAAACTCAACATTGATCTTATACCTAATCTTACATCTAGTGCAATATTTCAATTAAGCTAGGGTAACAAGACTTATATCTATCCATCTTTTGGGACTGAGATCGCAGATCCCCTGAGTAAGGCCGCTTAAGGCTATTTAAGGCACAATGACGATCGGATTTTTCGTCGGCCCTGTTTGTGGCGTTCCATCTTCGAACTGGACCGCCCCTCAGGCATTTATAACTAATCAGAAAATCCGGAACAAGGTACAAAGCTAATATATCTAATTTCTCTAAAAAGGGAATACAGCTAAAATCACCTGCACTTGTAATTCTACCTTACAAACTAGGAACACATTAGAACAGGTACCTAAGATGAATCCTGATCCATCGACGAGCAGAAGTCACTCCTCGATGAGAACCTTTTCCCATCAATGTCTCTATTCCGCCGATCTTGCGCTCGCTTTTGCGGGGACTCCATGTGTCTTTGGTGCGCATGACTATCTTTACGACCATGACGCTTTCCAGGCTGACCCTTATGCTCATCGCTTATGAGTGGGGTATTGTGTTCCGTTGCTTGGGCTCCCTTGATCTGTTTGGATACCTCTGCCACTGAGACCTGCTGCGCCTCTTCCTCCATCTCGTCCTCCATCTCCTCGACTAACTCCTGCTCATGCTCCGTGGCCTCCATCTTTGTCATGGTCCTCATCCCTGCGTCTACCATCACGCACCCTTAACGAAAAAACACCGACCTAAGAATGGCTGATATATCTTCATCTAGTAGTACTCCAGACTCAAAATTTTTGACTATGTAATAATTTTCAAGCTTTTTGAAGTTGTTATTTCATTAAATAGAAAAGATTTATAATAGTAAAATATATGTGTCTAATTGGTATGAAGTTCATTTCATATAAATATATATTATCTATCTTACAAGGTAAATCTTTTTGTATAGTAATAATATACACTTAGCGAGAATATTGGAACATAATTGTTTTACCACACGTTATTTTATAAAATTATTCAAATTTTTATATAATTGTTAATTCTATTGACTACAATTATTACAAAGTAAAATTAAAATACCACATAGGCATAATACATTTTAATAGGCTTAATTTTTTATTCATTACAAACAAAATGTAAATATTAAAAATTTATTGAAAGGTTGTATCGATCTAAGTGAAATACTTAGTAAAAAATTTGAAAGTACCTATTGTTTTCTATTATTTGGTAATAGTCAAACGCATAATACCATATAACCTATTTAAAAGTTGATCTTAAATTTATATTAAATAAATAAATTATTTATTTTTGAAATTATTTTATTTTTGTAGATAAATAAAAACGTATATTTAATAAAATTAATAGTCATTTAGATATTTTCGCTTGCTGTTACTGCTACACTGTCCTATCAAACAAATCCAGCACCGTCCACTTTGCATTAATACACTGATTTATAAAGGATAAAGCATGTGTGTACAAAAATATATATGTTCGCGCGCGCGCACTCTCATGGCAAACGCATATGCGCATACATGTATACACACCCATACTCACGCATGCATATGTATATATATATATATATATATGCATAACTTATTGTTAACTATTGTTAATTTCACAGAATTATTTTCGACAATTATATTATGTATATTTTTTCATCATTCATGAGCAGTCATGCTGAAAGTGAAAAAAAAACACCAAACAATAATTATATATACGAATTTCTATAAAATTATCGATCATTTATCTCAGAGTACAAAAGAAGATGAGAGACCATTCTTGCCCTAGCTTGTCCTTCGAGTTTATAAAAATCATTAAAGGCAGAAGATCTTTTTATCGATGTTGGGCACAAAAAGAGTCTCTATTAGACGGTTGAGACTTACATCTTTTTGTAATATCATTGTAGATAAGTGAAGTAGAAAACTTTTTGTCTCTTACACCAAAGGTTATATTCTGTCTAATGAATATTGTATATTTTAACTTTTAAGGAATAAAAAAATATTCTACATTCTATAAAAAGAAATGATTTGTATATATTTTTAGGCATGTTGTTAATGTTACAAACGATCGATAAACAACATTTGTATAAGATTTAAGTGCTTGTTACATAAGTTGACATAGATAATAAAATATATTCAAAATGTAGAATGCAATATGATATTATAAAAGTTAAAAATATATTGATACTATTATTTAAAATAATTTAAAATTATAATCGTTCTTTTGGTTTTACTAAATTTAAACAGGTTCTTAAGTAAAGGAGCTACTGATATTATTTGTTCACATAAAAAGTTTATCTATATACTAGTTGTAATTAAAATTTTTTTCGTAATATCGCTGCTTAAGAGCCGGCTTCATTATTTTCGATTTTATAAAATGTTTATTAAAATCAATAATAATAATATAAATTCCAACTGTGATTCCATAAAAAATTCAAATAGGACTGTATGACTAACTTTTAAGTAAGTTGAACTGAAATTCGATGTTTAAAAGCTCTCTCTCGTACCTGTTGGCTAATTTATTTTGCCTTGTTAAACGATGAAATAAAGAAATATGTATATTAAACTTTTTTTAGTCATGTATTAAAATACATTAGAACTCTTTGGAGGCAGAAGTTGTTGTTGTATGCTAAATCTTTTACTTTTAAAATTGAACATTTTTAGGCTATTTTATCAATTTTTTTCACTCAAGTACTAATCATAAACATTTAGTAACAAACAGTTTTTAAGTCTAATTCTGAAAATTTAATTTGAAGTCCAATATTTTTTTATATTATTTTTTATATAAGCATATAGAAATAAATAAGTTCTGCTTCTATTTTAATTTTAATTGAGTAGATAGCAATGATGCAATTCTTTATAATTGTGACGAAATGACATTGATTATATCTGTAAGCTGGGGTTTAATATAACGAGAAAGAATATTGATAATTGATTAAATGATAGACTAGTCTAATTTTCATATAAGATACGATTTCTTCCATATCTTAAATATAATGGTTCATCTTTTAGAAGCATCGACAGTAATGCGATGAATATTATTAAGGAAATAAAATAAATATGTCTAGGTAGATTGTATTACACTGTATTAATTTATTGAATAATATTGTTTATGATATTTTGTTTTCTAAATATAATTATAAAGTCTAACATTTTGAAGAGATTTTTATTTTAATGCATTTATGAGAATTATATCTAATTTTCATTATCTAAATAAATTAATAATTTGCTCGATTAGTTCAATAAATAAAAATGGAACTTGGTTATTCAGTAAATATATAATTGTTCGAGAAGTATTAGTAAGTCTAAGCACTCGATTATCTTTATCATCAATATAATTTGAAATTATTTATTATTTGTGTAAGATACTATTAAATCTTTTACAATATGATAAGCTGCAAATGTCATTATTTTTAATCTTTGTTTCAACTTGAGGTTTTCTACAGTTATTAAGATTTTATTGAGAAACTAAATTAATAGCAAATAATTTATGTAAAAAAGAAAACTATAGTGAATACTTATGAGATTGAGATATTTTGAATATAAGTTATTAATATTCAAATATATAAAGAGGATTATGAAGACTCTTAAATATAAACTAATATAACACATCGAAAATAAAAATTCTGCGAGACCTACCGAACAAACAAAAAGGCCATTATTCTCTCCGAATGTTATGTATAATTTATTGTTACTTCGTGTTTTTAAATGAGGTAAATGAGTTTATGAAAACAATACTTGCTATATGTTAAATAGAATGATTTATTATAAAAATATATATAAAAAACGAAACTATTTTTCAAGATATCGTTTTAAGTATCCCATAGGCAGTATATATATATATATATATATATATATATATATTGAAATATATGTGTTATTGTATAATATTTAAAACTAAATAAATGTCTATACTTTACACAAGTTATGTTTACTTCCTTACTTCCCTTTAACCTATCCCAACAAAGTGAACTCAATATTTCAAGATATCTAAATATAAAATTATGTATGAAAATAATGTGGTAATTGTAATAATACATTATAAAACTCCGTTCATTAATGTTCAAAATGATCGTAATTGCTTATTTATTTCAACAATTTTCATAACTTAACAGTAAATTGACAATTGAATATTAAACAATATTTGTTAATACACCTACATCAATTTTATAAGATACGAACAAAATATTTATATTAATTAATATTACGTATAATTATACTTTTTTAACATATATCTTTATAAGGTGGCATTTCCTATAATAAACTAAATATTTTTTAATTATTATTTAATTTCTTTTATGAACATTTCTTTTAAATATTAAAAATAGCATTTTATTTATTTACATTAATGTTTACAATATGCTTTATTTAGATTCATTTTTATTTAAAATTTTATTATTAAAATCATATTTGTACAAATACTTTTTGTATACATTTTTTATATATGAATTTCATATAAAAATTACTATCGATATAATTATACAGATGTAGAAAAAAAACAAAATTAGAAATAAAAAAATATAAAAATTACTAGCTTATTCATCAGTTAAAAATGGAATTAAATTTGAATTTATTTTTACGTACCATTAATTTCTTCAAAATATGTACATCATATATAGTTAGTTAATTTCATAATTAATTTTGGGTAGGTAAGTTTGGGTAGTAAATTAATGTGCCAGTTAGGGTTTTATCAAATTATTTATTATGTAAAAAAGTATTTTTAAATAAATACTTCTGTATAAATGTATCGTTAAACATAAATGATATTCAAGTTAAAGCCAATGATAAAAATGGCACATTTCAGTTAAGATAAGAAACTTTCATTTATGTATTAAATATAGATAAATTAAAAATTTCATAAAATGAGATATATTAAATGTTACAAATATTTTTTTTTACTTGTATGATTGAAATATAGATTTTAGATGTACATCATAGAAAAAAATGTTTAAACGTAATAATGCTAACACAGATAACAATAACATATTTATTACACAATATTTGTATTACTTATAATTATCAGATATATATTTATCATTTAACATTTATTATAATTAGATGCTATACATTTTAGTAAATTTTTATTCAGTATCAGTTTATTAAAATTTTCTTTAATATAAATAGGATTCGATTATCAAAAAAATGTATTAAATTACTATTTTATTTTCATTCGTGCAACATTCTAAACATTTCGAGAATACGTAAATATTTATACAAATTTTTATTTTATGACACATTTGCGTATGCCCTTGTATTTTTTTACATATATGTACGCACTTATGTTATATGCCTTTATATAGAAAAAGAAATGCTTATAAATATCTATAGATTCGAATTTTTATGTAATAATTGTTGAAGAAATCATAATAGCAAAATCGTTTAATAGTATGTTTTAAGTTTTTAATATTATTTATTATCAGTAAATAACAATACAAAATGTTTTCACTGAAATACTTTAAGTTCCTTCTTATTTCATTATTAATTTAATTTTAGTTAATATACTAATATCAATATATTTTAATCGTGCATATTTAATTTTTTTATCAATGTGTAATTTTATATTAATTTTCTGCATAAAAAATCTTATTGAAATTATATTGCAAAGTATATGTACAAAATTTTATAGCACGAAGTCTTAGCTGTTTAAATAAATATAATAAATTATACTTACTCTACTTATCATTTTTCGAGCTGTAAGTCTGTTCCATTTTTAAGCATTACTCGATTAACCAAAAAAATTACAGCTGACTGAATAAATTAGCAAATTTGAACTGAATTATTTACGTCTTCTTTTTCATTAAAATTATTCTTATAAAAAAGGTATTAAAATTCAATAATTTTATAAATAACGAAAATCTGAAAATCGTTTAAATTTTATGTTGTTGATGTAGCACATCCATCTTTGAAACTTATACTATTCACTTTAAACTTTATATAAATTAGAAATCACTAATATCATTTTTATATGTAGAGATACTAAATAAAGTAACTGGTTTTTCTGTTAACTTTTTAAGACAAAAATGGTTACATAAAAATATTTTTTGTTTAGGAAACAGTATTGAATTTCTTATAAATGCTTGATTATATTTATGTTCCACGAAAATTTAAATTCCCATTATTACGGTAAAGATTATTGATTTATAAACTAGTATAGTTACAAATGAAATAACGACACCCTCTACCAAATTGATAATTATTTAAGAACTTTCTATTGCTGATAAGTTAATTAAACTCAGAGAAGAGTGGAAAGCGCCGAAGTTTTCAAATGATAAAATGAAGGCGTGACGAGCGCTATTATACTAGTACACGAAAACCCAATGAACTTTATCCTCAAAATTAGGCAACATGACACACCCTTCAATTGCGTGACACGCCTTCTCTGACGCTTATTTTTATCGCACCAGGTGTATGATACATGTAAACAAGATTTTGCAATTGCAAATACTTATTTTATTCAATGTATTGCTCTCTTCATGCAAATATGAATTATTCTAGTCGTCGAACTCATGGGATTGTATACGATTAAATCATATGCTTGGAGAATTTTAGTATTTTGCCAATAAATAAGTCATAAATGCATGGCAGAAATTAAATTATAATTTTATTATTAATAAGGTTGATAGAAATTGCTAATAATGTTGAAAAATTAATATAATGTATTATATCGTTTTTTTCTTCAATTTTTAAACGAATTTGTAATAATAATTATATAAATAATTTTTGGAATTTATTTATTCTTTGTAATAAATTTTATGTACATATATTTTGTATAATTTATATCTATAATAGACAACTATAATTTTTTATAAAAAAAATATTTCAACTTATATATTTTTATTAGATTATTTGAGAATGTTCATTCTAAAAGAACAAAAGTATTTAAATAAATAATTTTAAAAATTTCTATAGAAATTTTATAACCAACCCCAGCTGAAAATATGGAAGATATTAGTATAGTATCAAGTAAGTATTCATATATATACTGACATATATATGAATATATATATATATATATATATATATATATATACATATATAATAAATCAAGAACTTGTATTCGTAATAATAAATTCCAAAACCTTATATAAGAGCTCAAGATAATACTTCCTTACTTTTCTTTGCTTTCTTATTTATATACTAATACGATTTATAACCTTTTTTCGAAAATAAATATGAAATATAGAAAGAATAGAATTTAAAATAAGAGTACATAAATGATAGTTTATGAATAAAATTAAAATATTAAATTACAACGTTGCATTATATTAAATTTTCATCTTTGTATAAAAAACGTATACTAAAAGTTATTAATTTAAATTATTAAGAGTAAATATACAACAAAAATTGATGTGTAAAAGGATGATCTCGACAATCACAGTATATTAATTAAATTAGTATTTTGTTGATTAGACATAAATCAATAATTAGAAAATGCTTTTAATATTATTAAAATTGTTATCATTATTGTAGCCGTTATAATTATTAACATTTATAAAGTGTATTATAAATTTATATATTATAAGATTATAAATTATAAACAATTATACATTTATAAAATGTATTTACATTGTGTTTATTTTATAAATGTTAAAGTTACACCTATCGAAAAACCAACATACAGATTTATCTCATTAAGAGTAGTTTATGGACACTTTTTATTTAATAAAATCTACTCAGTATTTTTTATATTTACGATGGAGTCGTAATTAGAGAGTTGAAATATTATTGACGAAAGATTATTTTTTTTTTTAATAATGTGGGGTAACATCTGTTCGTCATCAAATATTTATTTAACTGAATAATCTTTATAACATTTTTGAGTAATGGATTATGTATAATTTCCTATAAAAGTACTGTTACGTCATTTAACTAATAATACGTCACATATGCATGTTAAGCCTCATTAATTTATAAAACAGATATAAATTATACTGTCCTGAATTTATTAATATAATATACGGCATGTAAATCAATTGATAATAATATTAATTATACATTATTACTCATTAAGCCTGACAATCTAATTATTATTTATCTTTAATATTTATCCTTAAAATCCAATAAATGATTCTCTATATAAGACGTGTAAATACGAAGATGTTTTAACATTTGAAGATGATTTCTCTTCGATTGTACTGTATTCTTTTATTTAGTATTGCTCTTGTAGCAGGAGAAATAAAAAATAAAGTATGGTGGAAGAATATAGTATTCTATCAAGTATATCCAAGAAGTTTTATGGATAACGATGGAGATGGTGTAGGTGATCTAAAAGGTAGATGAAATTTGGTTTATTTTATCTGTACTTGTAATTTAATTATTAAATTTGAACATTTATTTTTTTTTCTTATTAACATAAATCAATCATTATCGCTAATTATAATATTAATAATAACATTTCTCTATTTGTAAATTTATTTAGCAAAACAACGATATATACAAATAAATTAATTTAACTTATCAAAGCTTTCATTATGAATTAGTTAATAATTTTTTCGTCATATATTCAGTACTTTTGTCACTTGTAATTGCATGTTTTTATTTTATAATTATGAATTTTTATTAACCTTTTAAATTTTAAATTTGAATTTATTAAATGAACATTTCAGAATATAACATATTTATCATTATATTTTTTATTCCCATTAATGAATTCATATCAATCTTTTAAATAAAAAAAATTGCATTCGTCAAATTTTTTTACAAATCAAAGATATTATTTTTTGACGAAATTTACAATTTTAGTATATGTTATACAAAATCGCCAATAAATTTCCAGAAAAACTTTTAAAAATAATGGACAAAATTTGTTAAAATAAAAAACATAATTATACAATTTATAATTGTTATTTAAAATTAAATTTAATTTTGAATTTTTTAATTTAAAAATTAAATAGTTTTAAAGTTGATTAAAAAATATGAAAAATATAAAAATTTAATTTAATATTAAGATGTTTGTAGTACGTACATTCATAAAATTGTAATTTATACCAATTAATTAGGGAGTCAATGATATATATTGATATATGATATATCATGAAGTATTTAGTTATATTTCTTCAATATCTTCTGTTTTTATAAAATAATGCGAACAGTAATAAACAAATATATATATATAAGTCTAATTACATATTAATTAGTTTTGACTGTTAATAAATATATATGATTATAGGAATAACGGATAAACTTGAACATTTTATTGATGCTGGCATTGGTGGTATATGGCTATCGCCAATATATTCAAGTCCAATGGTTGATTTTGGATACGATATTTCCAATTTTCTTACTATTGATCCAACATTTGGAACAATGGACGATTTAGATAAACTGCTCCAAAAAACAAAGAGACTAGGAATTAAAGTATATAATATAATAAGTTATATTATATGATTATTTTAACGTATAATTTATATAATGTTCTAAATACGTGCTAATTAATTATATATATATATATATATATATATATATATATATTATTACAAAAGTTATATTTTTCTATAATTATAATTATAATTATAACTTAATCACAAAAATATGATTACAAAAATAATTGTTCAATAAGTTTCGATTGTTATCCTTATTCGTAATATATTTTATCTTTAGAACATTTAATTTTGAACGTAATTGTGATTTTATGTAAATGTATATATCATACAAATGGTCGTTACAAAATCAATTCTGTTTTTCAATTATTATTTGTTTTAGTATTTCAATTTATTTTTAATAGTAATATAGGAATAAAATAATAAGGTTATTTAGTTAAATAAATAATAGAAAGAAATATATATTAAAAAGTATTTGGTTCATAGGTTGTAATGGATTTTGTACCTAATCACACATCTGATCAGCATGAATGGTTCATTAAAAGTGTCAATGGTGAAGAAAAGTATAAGGATTATTATGTTTGGCTTGAAGGACGAGAAAATAATACTAAGCCACCGAATAATTGGATAAGTCTTTTTAGTGGGCCAGCCTGGAAATATAATGAAAAAAGAAATTTATGGTACTTACACCAATTTGAATATAGGCAACCTGATCTTAATTTTAACAATCCTGATGTACATAAAGAAATGAACGTAAGAAATATGAATATTAATTACATAAGAAAAACTTTTTTATTTTTCAAAAGTAACTAATAAGTTCTAATTGCATTGTTTTCAATTTATGATATAGCATTCTTAATCAAATTACTAGTAAAATATAGTAATGTATAATTGAAATTTGTAGATTTAATTAGTAAATAAAAAATAAATATAAAATACAAATTTAATATTCTAATTTTAGGATATTTTGCGGTTTTGGCTTGATAAGGGTATCGATGGATTTCGAATTGATGCAATTATTCATGTTTATGAAAAAGACGGTTTTCCAGATGAACCAGTAGTATATAATAAGCTTACGTTAACAACAGATAATTATCTTAATCTCAATCACATTTATACAAAAAATGACCCACGAAATTATGATTTAATTACCGAGTGGAGAAAGACAGTTGATGAATGGACGGATGCACATAATGAAGAAGAAAAGGTTCATTGTTTATAATACAAATATAAGTTCTTCCATGTTTAAATTTCATTGAATACAAGATTGATGAAATTTTTGTCTTTAATAGGTTCTAATGACTGAAGCCTATACAAATTTAACAAATCTTATGAAATATTATACTTACGGAGCCGATATTTCTTTTAATTTTAATCTTATTACGGAAGTTAATATTACTTCAAAGCCTAGTGAATTTAAGCATGTTATCGATGAGTGGATATTAAATATGCCGGATGGTAAAGTTGCTAATTGGGTGGTAAGAATACGTTTCTAATAGTTACTTCAATCAAGTCGATAAGTACAGATTAGAATCTCTAGTAAATTGGCTTTTACAAATAAAATCTTACAAGAAAAATGAAGGTTTATAAAATCTAAATAAACTGCAATTGTTATAGATAGATAATACATCACAAAATTTAATACTAAAAAAATACTTTCATAATATAATTTAAATTAATCATAGTGTAGTTGTAATATGTTAACTGAATGAATATAATTTAATATAAATTACTTATAGCAATGTTTCTTATATATTATAATTTTGTTGAAATTATGATAAATTGAAAATAAGAATTTACTTTCGAATATTAATAAATTTAATTTTGTTAACAAAACAACAATGAATAATAAATTTAACAATTATTGAATGATTTTTTTATCTATTAAAATACAAATTCGTATAAAATTTTGAGTATCTTTTCATGTAATTATAAAATTTTAAGGATAACTTATTTGTTGTACAATGATGTAGATGGGCAATCATGATAGGAGCAGAATTGCTACGAGATATCCTGGAAGAGTCGATCAAATGACTATACTTTCCATGATTCTTCCTGGTGTTGCCGTCACTTATTATGGCGAGGAGATAGCTATGGAAGACAATCTAAGCATCACCTGGAAGCAAACAAAAGATCCGCAAGCCTGTCATGTCGATCCCGAACATTTTAAAGAACTGACACGTGACCCTAATAGAACTCCGTTCCAATGGGATGATTCCATAGATGCGGGTAAGTTCTTAAAATTTTTATTTAAGATATTAATAAATGTTAAATGATAAATTTACAATTATTAATTAATTTTAGAAAAATTTGATAATTATCGCTTACTCAATTAATTATTCAAGTTATTTTTACTTTTATTATGTTGAAATGTACTTTAAATTGGAGTATCATGTCGTATTAGTATTATAATTTTACTTTATTTTAAATAAAAACAAAAACTTTATGCAATAATAATAATTACATTAGTATAATTTTAAATCTATTAATATTATATCTGTGAATACGTTTTATTTTTATTTAAATCTCATACAAATAGTTTAGTTTCCTATATTCAAATTTAATGGCAATATGAAACCAAATAATTTACATTTTCTTATATTAATACACACAATATTTTATCACCCCATTAAAATTGATTAAAATATCTATGGTTATAATTTTTATAAATTCTTATACAATTACCTTTGTATTAAGAAATGATTGTCAAGTGAATAATAATTATTATGAAACTGTAATTTATTATTTTATAGATTGCATTTAAATAATGTTTAAGTTCCATTAATAACTTTTATAATTATTATAGGTTTCAGTACAGCTTTAGAAACATGGCTACCGATACCTGACAATTATAAAGAGTTAAACTTAGCGAATCAAAAAGGTAAACCTGAATCACATTATGTGCTTTACCAAACGTTAACCAAACTACGAAGTACATCGATAGCTTTGCAAAATGGAACTCTAAAGACTACTGTTCTAAATAATGATAGAGTATTGATAATTGACCGTCAAAGTAATAACGAAGCTATTGTTCTTCTTATAAACTTCTCCGATGATGTAGCAGAAGTAGTTGATCTTACAGATCACTTACCTGGAGCTACCGAAGCTATTGTTATTCTTGCTAATATAGGCTCAGGTATTACATGGAGGTAATTATTAACATTCTGTCACAATAAAGAATGTATTATTTTGAATTAATATATATTTCTAGAATAATCAGGATGTTAATATTTTGACTTTTTTTGTAGGTCAATGGTATTGGTTTCAAGTATTGAATTGCCACCAAAAGTTTCTTTAGTTCTCTTTGCAAAAGTAGATGGTTCTCATTCTGATTCATAATATTAATATTTATATGCAGTTAAATATTAGAAAATTAGGTAATAATTTATATTTTGTAAATAATAAAAAATAATGTGATAATATAAAATAAAGTAATTATAAAGAAATATTCATTTTCTATTATACATACACTTTAATATTTCTTATCTATAATATCTATTACAGTATATTTAAATTTAGTTTAGTACTTGAATGCATTATTGGTTATAATTGATATTAATAGTTAAATTAATTGGTAAATTTTATAGCCTGTTTCTTGGATATATCATTAAATTTGTTTTAGCTCATAATTTTGATAATTTTTAATTAGCTCTATTTATTATGTCTTAGTTTTTTTTTAAAAATATGAATATAATAATACATGTATCAATTATTTTTTCAGAATTTTTATATAGTATTCCATTACATATATATAGTAGGCCATCTTTTTTATACGATAAACAAGCATAAATTGTAGATAAATACGATTTTATGACTTCCAAAACTTTTGTGTTAAATTAATAAGTTTTGATAATAATCATAAATATTTAACTATCCAAATATAATAATAGTAAAATTAATAATATTTAGTTAGAAGATTCTCAATACGTTGTAATAATAGACAAATATAATAAAGTAAATTAGGATATTTATGTTAGATATAGAGAGTTTATAACTAAAATTGATAGTAATTTTCACTTCATTGTGGATTTTCCAAAATGATTAAAACCTATATATATGATAGTTAAGCCGCTGACTTACCAAAGCAGAAAATTACAAAAATCAATATCTGTTAGTGAAAATAATATAAATTTAATAGTTTTTAATAACTTTTAATTACTTGAGAACCTATATTAATAATTATTATAATTATTATTAATTTTATATGTATTTTTTTTAATTTATTTGAATCAATACTCTAATTATTTCGTTACTTGCATAAATGATTTATACATATATAAATAAAATTAATACGTATTCTCTTTAGTTTAATTTCTCAAATATTTAAATAAAAAGTTTTTATAAATTGCTTATTTGTGAAATTTTTTAGTTTCTTTGTATATATTTTGTATTAAAGTAACGCATTAAAGCTAAAGTTTTACATGCATATATCTGAAATGCAAAGACGCTACTTTTTATTTGATTACGATAGAAAAATATTCAAGTTTCATAGTTATTCGTTTTTTTAGCTCTTTTTACTTTTTATTGTTCATTCATTAATTTTAATAACAATTAGTTTTTTGTTTTTTTTTTAAGTTTTCAAGTAATTTTTTAAAAATTAGGAAATTTTCTCAGAGTTTGTCTTATTTATTTAAGGTATTGATTTTCTTTGAATAATTTGAATATTATTTAACTAACGTAACATTAAAATTATATTAATTGTCTAAAATAAATCAATTAATTTAATTTTTATTTATTATATTTTATTATATTTATTATATTATTTAATCTTAAATTTTTTAAAATAATTACCCAAGCCTGAATAATGGCTGTAATTTCTATAAATGATTCATCTCTTTTTTATATTTGTATTTCAATAATCATACATATAAAAGTATTAATATTAATATTTTTAATTATAATCACAAGAGTTTCAATTTATAATTAAAAATTTTCAATAATTACTCGATACTCGAGTGTATCCGATCTTGGTAACTCTGATTCACTTATCTTCGGCCGGTTTTCTTATTAGTTTATCATCATCTTCTATCTATTAAATATAAATATATATATGTTTATTTTGTAGTAGACAATATACATGTGATTGGGACGTGGGCGTATATAATGTAGAATATTGATGAAGAAAGAGAAAGAAGTCTGAGAACAGAGATGGGAGAAGAATTATTAGCATCGTATTTTACATCCCATATTTATAAGTAAAAAAGAATAGAAATATCTTTTTCTTTTTATTATTATGTATAGATTTATGAAATTGATAAGTACATAAAAGCAATTATAATTATTTGCTGAGAACCTTAACTCTGACATTAAGTAGATTCACAAAATTAGGAATTTAAGATAATTCAATACTACAAAGCATGTTACGATGAAAATAAGCTTCAGTTATGCTTTCCAAACCATTTAGGATTATATACTTTAATATAATTATTACAAATTCACATATCAAACAAAGAGTACAGTTCCAACGAGATTGTGACTTTAATTGTAGCATATTTCTGTTAAAAAGAATAACAATGTTATTTTTAGTTAATTTATAATTTATAATTACAGATGACATCAAGTGTTGGTCAACAAGTGTTTTTAATAATAAAAAAAAATTTTTTTTTTTACACAATACCTTTAAATTATATTTTAGTTTAAAAAGTAATGCAGCGCATATAAAAATGTAATAAATAAAAATGTATAGAAGCATTTTAGAAATAATATTAAATTATAATCAATTTCCAGTTTCGCAGCAACATATGAATTTACTGAAATATATTAAAAATAAGTAATATTTTAAACATATTTAATTATTTCATTAATAAAAAAATTACTGCTTTTAATATACAAATATATATAGTAGAATAATAGTTTAGAATCATAATATATTTCTTTAAACATCGGAATTTTCTAACAATATACGTTAAAGATTGAAAGACTATATAGTTTTGTTTTAAATAAGCAAATTATTTATTTTTGAATTATTAAATAGGTGTTATATGAAAAATTACAAAATTGCATTTGATGATTTGATATTAAGTATTAAGTATTAATGCTTTAAAATATTTTCGAGGTTTAGTATTTACCTTAAGTTAGTAAATAAAGTTTTCAACGACAAGATTTTGATCATTTGAAATTTATTACTTAATTAACAGGATTAATTACTAAGGCGTTCATAGTTTGTACTCGATATTTTTACACATCATAAAATTGATTCAAAATGTATGACGTATTTAATCAGTAATCTTTTATAAGTTAACAAACAAGTTAATAAATGCTTTTTACTAAGTTCACAAATTGTTATTGTTTTAACAAAAAATTTTTATATTGTAATAGAGTACGGTATATTTTGCATACAAATTTAGTACAAACATTTTAGATACGTAACAAAATATCGCATGAAAACGAACATAATAAATTTTAATGATATAGTTTTGAAACTAAAAATAGATTTAATATAAATATCGATTAATATTTTAAGTTAAAGAAGGTTTAAAAATTGTATCACTGCTGTCGTGTATCTTGATTATCCTAAATGTTAAATATTTTACGATATGTGACTGCAGTAATTTCTTTTAGACGTACAACATATAACATTTTATAAGGTATTCATATAAGTTCTTCGAGAATTTTAATATTAAATACAAATATTGACTGCATATTTCTTATCCATGTTTTTGAAACTATCACGTTTTCTATATAAGTTGTAATGTTGGTATAGAACTTTAAAAGAGTTAAAAATGTTATCTTTAAGTTTTTACATAATTTTTCTTTTAATTGTTGGTTTTGCATTTGATTAAATAAATAATAAGGGATTGTGAAAAATATGTTTTATCAAACATATACGGGATAGTATATGACATCTAATAATTTTAAAATTGATGAATTACAAAATTAACTGTAATACCTATATAATGATTACGTAAATTGAATTAAAACATTGAAATCTTATGAAAATTAAATTATTTAATATAAAAAATATTTTCAAATTTACAAATATTTGCGTTTTGGGTAAATATTATTTATGTACTTATTTGTACTGTATATTAGATAAAATTGATAATGTCAATATTAAAAGTAATTATGATTAAAAATAGAAATTTTACGTTTTTACCTATACTTTTCGAAGGAAAAGTAACTTTGATATATTGTAAATATTCTTATTTGGAAAGTATTGTTACTAATTATATTTTTTTTTATATTTATATAATTTCAAAGATAATATATTCAACTAATACTTTTAAATAAGAAATAATAGGCACGTAAGATTTATTTATTATACAATCATTGATAATTATGTATTTTAAAATTTAAAGTAACTTTATTAAAAGATCGAAAGATCTTACTGTGTTTACAAAAAACTATTTGTCGAATTTAGTTTAGTATTCAAATGAAGACATTTTTCAATTTGAAAATTATGTAATGATTTTTTTTTTTTGTAATTATATTCTATTTAATTAATACTTTAATATAATCTTAAAGAAGATGAATAACACTATATACTTTTCATTTACAATCGTAATATCTAACAGGTGTATGAAATTTTTTATATTATAAATAATCTTTTATATATAAATGCCGAACAACAAATAATCAGTTAGGAATTAAAAAATTTTCACAGTGTATGATTATATTATATTCATATTTTTTATACAGTTGATATACCCATATTTTTTAAACATTTAATCTTTTAACGAAATGCGAGAATCTGACATTTTCTGTATTAAAAAGTACAATAATTTAGGTAAACATAGAATAAAATATTATAAAAGAATTTTAGAAGAATAAATATAATAAGTATACTCTATATTATAAAACAAAATATTATTTTTTAAAAATGTATTACAAATATATAGTATTCATTAAATATTTAATCGGTTCATGTAATCTATATTTTGTCATTAATTAAAAAGTAATTGTCCTAGTAGTGTTAATGATTATAATAAACTCATAATATATCTTTTTCCAAATCTTGCAGTTTTCTATCAATGTATATTAAATATTTAGTGAATTATCTCATCCTACTTTAAATAAAACAAATTATTTATTTTTGAATTTCTACTAAGGAATTAGATATGAATTATAAAATCAAATTTTAATGTTGATATTAATACTACATAATATTTTTAATATTTTCAAGACTGTTTTTAATTGTAGCAATGTAAACAAAATTTTCCAAGAATATACTTCGATCTTTTCATGGTTTGTACTCGATATTTTTACACATTATAAATAATATTTTAATTTATAGTAGGTACATCAATTATCTCACTATTTTTATTTATCTTTATTATCCTATTTTTAAAAGATTTTTCGTGATATAACTAAAGTAATTTCTTCTATACGCACAACGTATAACTTTTTTAAATCAAATTCGTGCTTCGAGAATTTTAATATTAAATGCAAATATTGACTGCATATTTCTTATCCGTGTTTTTGAAACTATCACGTTTTCTATATAAGTTGTGATGTTGGTATAGAATTTTAAACGAATAAAAAATGTTATCGTTAAGATTTTATATAACTTTTCTCTTTGTTATATGCTATGTACATGCTGAAATAAGAAATAAAGGATGGTGGAAAAACATGGTATTTTATCAAATATATCCTCGAAGTTTTATGGATTCTAATTGTGATGGAACTGGTGATCTACAAGGTTAGTAGTTATATAATAATTATTTTATTATTTTTTAAACATTACGTATTTATTAATAACAAATTTATTTGAAATAATATGATAGTATACATTTGAGCTTTAGAATACATGTAATGCTGTGTCCCCAGTTACATACTTAATTGCAGTTAACATTTGAAAGAATTTTTTTTAAATAAAAAATTAATTATAAATTTAAATAGTTAATAAATAAAATGAATATTTTATTATTTTATCATTTGATGTCAATGGTTACTTAATATTTTTTAATTTTTTGAGATCTAGTTTTGTCTTTTGAAAACTTAAAATGACCTAAGTAATAGACTAATTTCATTACGCTGCATTTATGCATGCATGGATGTGCATATATGCATATATGCACGTATGCACATACGTATTATAATTAAAATAATAAAAGGTCTTTAGAAGTCTTCGTATCTTACTTACAATTTAATACAATTATTTTTTATATTTCACATTGCATTATTAAATTTAAAACAAAAAGGTTTGTAGTAAAATATAATGTACACTTGTGATGTAAAAAAATCACGAGTCTCAAACTATTATTATTTACATTCTCGTGAGTATATGTAATACCTAAGTATTTATATTCTTAAAATTTTTAATTTGACTGTAAATTAATTTTCTAACTAATTTGTGTTTAACAATAAATGTTAATATAAAATTCTAAATATTTTTTTATTGTAAAAATATTTAAATTATAAAACTTAGTTATTAATGTAAAAATATATATTATAATATTATATATATTATTATTATTATTAAAGCAATATGAAATAATTATAAAATTTGACTATCAAATTATTTTCATTATTAATAATATATCATGTAGGAATTACAAATAAATTAGAGCATTTTGTGGACATTGGAATTGATGCTGTATGGATGTCACCTATAAATAAAAGTCCTATGATTGATTCCGGTTACGATATAACAGATTTTCGTGACATTGATCCATTGTTTGGCACATTGCATGATTTTGAAAAATTAATTAAAAAAGCAAAACAATTAGGAATTAAGGTAACTTATATTTGAAATTGTGTTATTTATAAAAACAATATTAGTGTGCAATAAAAAAATTGTTGTTTTAAGGTCATTATAGATTTCGTACCTAATCATACATCTGATCAGCACGAATGGTTTATTAAAAGCGTTAATGGCGATAAGAAATATAAGGATTATTATGTATGGCGCAAAGGTCGTGCAAATAATACTGAACCTCCAAATAATTGGATTAGTAACTTCAGTGGATCAGCTTGGACGTACAATAAAAAAAGAGATTTATGGTACTTGCATCAATTTGATTATAGGCAACCTGATCTTAATTTTACCAATCCTAATGTTCATAGAGAAATGGAAGTAAGCTATTTATATGTACAATAAGGTTTTAGGTTATTCTTACATTCATATTCATGCTCGACGCTTATTACAAGTCGTTGAATTATCCGTCTTTTTTTATTTTCAAATATTAATACTTAATATAATAGTTATATTTTTATTTACAGTTATCCTATTAATGCACATATATTTAAACATACACTAAGAACTAAATATAAAAATAGGTATTAAATTTTAATTGCTAAATAAAATTGTATAAAATTGTATTAATAAATCTAGACGATTATTATATTGAAATGTATTAAATTTCACTTTAAAATTATGTTCAGTATTGATGTATTATAATACAATAAACTGTTTACTACTAGTTAAATAACAATAATAATCATATGGCATTATAGGAAATTCTTAAATTTTGGTTAAATAAAGGTGTTGATGGATTTCGAATAGACGCAGTATCTTTTCTATATGAGGATGATAGATTTTTAGATGAACCATTAACTGGTTTACACGGATTTACAAAAAACGATCGAGAATATTTATATACTATTTATACTAAAAATGATCCTAGAGACTTTGAAATAGTTGCAAACTGGAGAAAAGTAATAAATAATTGGGTAGATGCTTGTAATGAAGAAGAGAAGGTTTTTAATATTTATAAATAAAAATTGTGATGTATAAGTTATATATTTCATTAAATTTCATTTTGTAATTCACAGATCGTAATGACGGAAGTTTACTTAAATTCTTATAAATTCTATAATTATGGATCACATGTGCCTTTTAATTTTGAACTAATTATGCATGTTAGTAGTACATCGAAACCAAGTGAATTAAAACATATTATTGATAAATGGATTGCTGCTGTGCCCCCAGGCGGAGTTCCGAATTGGGTGGTAAGATGAAACTACTGTATTTAATGTAATATTATCAATTGGCTTTAAAGACTATAGTTTTTAGTTATTGGTAATATTCAATATATTACCATATTAGACCAAATATATATTTATATATTTATTATTTTCCAATAATAAAAAAGTCATGAAATGTAATTTTTTGGAAATTTTTGGAAATTGAAATTTTTTAGCATACATAACACTTTTAAAATAAAATACATTTGAGTATATTTTTATTTAATGTATTTGTAATAATTTTTATAATAAATCATTTAAACTACTGACAGTAATAAATTTGACACAATTATTTGTTTAAGATGCTATGGTTTAATAATTTTTTTATTTAAAATCAGAGTATTTATTTACTGCTAACTAATTATTAATAATTGAAATGCTATTTATAATTTGAACTACATTTATACTATTAGAAAAAAAATTGTTGAATAATAAATTTTTTAATAGTAAGATTATCATAATAATATAATTAAATAATGTATAATGATTTGTAAGAAATTTAAATTAACTAACAATTTATTAAATAATAAATGTTAAACTCGGCTTCATAAAATATTTTACATTTAATTATATTAATAAATACTTTTAAAATAATGCCAATAATAATTAATAATTATTAGTAATAAGAATTTGTTGATATTAAAGTTTTTTTTATTATACTATGTATAATTCAGACGAGTAATCATGATCGTAAAAGAATTACTATGAGGTATGTGAAAAGGCCAAATCTAATGTTAGTGCTAGTTATGATTCTTCCCGGTGTGGCATGCGTATATTATGGGGAAGAAATTGGCATGGAGGATAATTACGATATTACTTGGGATGAAACCGAAGATCCTTTGGCATGTGCTTCAAATCCAGAAATATACCAAACGATATCACGTGATCCTTGTAGGACACCATTCCACTGGGATGACACGATGAATGCTGGTATGTACTCATATTAATTTACATAATTACTTAACATATATAGTAGTACACATTTAAATATAAAAATAATATACTACTTCAGAAATTTCTTTGTATAAATTATTATGTTAATGTTGACCTCGATATTATTAATGCATAATAAAAAATTCAAATTAGTTAACACCTCATCCCAACTATTCATAAATCTTCATTTCTTTAAATAATACCTAAATTTGTAACTGTTCATTATCTTTTAAGGATTTTAAGAGTATAATATATGTTCAATGTATATTCACTAAAGATTTTCTGAATTATCTTTATCATATTCTATAATTTATAGCATTTACTGATACACAGTGCAATACTTATCATAAATTGGACTTAAAATAAATAATTAATTATTTTATACTAAAATATGTAATTATTTATTTGAAATAAAAAAATCAACAAAACTATTTCTTATAATTAAAACAGAGTATAAAATTAGTATTTTAGAAGAGCGCAAACTTTTATTTTATATAATCAATTTTTTTCGAAACCTTAATATCTATTATTTTTTTATTTTTATTTTAATATTTATTTAATTTTCGTTCTTTTCTACTGAATTATTAAAAATTAAAAAAACTAATTTAAGATAATAATCTAAATAATAAATTTCATAATTCTTTAAATCAGTTTATTAATAATATACCATTGTTATATTTACATTATCTAATTAATTTTTTAATTACAGGTTTTAGCAAAGCTAGAAAAACATGGCTACCAGTTCATAAGAATTACAAAATTTTAAATTTAAAGAATCAAAAATTTGAACCTGAATCTCATTTCAAACTTTTTAAAACTCTTGTTGCACTGAAAAAGTCGTCGGAAACCTTGAAAAGTGGATCATTAATAACCGATACATTAAATAACGATAAAGTTTTGGTTGTATCACGCCAGTCGTCTAATGAAAGTATCGTTTTTATCGTTAATTTTTCTGACGATGTTTCGCAAAATGTTAATCTTAATAAATACTTACCTGGAGCTGTGAGAGCTACTGTTATCATATCAAGCGTCTGTTCAAATATTAGATGGGGGTTCGTTATTTATTAATATATAAATATTATCAACTTAAATTAAATTTTTTAATCAATTTCTTTACAAATGTATTATTACATTATAAATATTGAATTTAACTAATGATAATTTCAGATCATCGATAAGAGTTTCATCAGTTCAATTACCTCCAACAGCTTTATTAGTTCTTAAGGGTACCATAAATAATTAAATTAGTTCGCGAAAATTGTAAATGTAATTTTGTACTGTAATAAAATAGAAAATTAATTTGAATATACTTAAATCGCATTATTTTTCCTCATTATATTTTATCATGGTTATAGCTTTATTTGTAATTTAAACTAGTATGGATTCAGTTATTAATGAAGAATATAAAATTATGAAAAGAAGTATCTGTAAGAAATTTTATTAAAATTATTAATCTGGTCATGTATAAATAATATTATGCTATGTTAATATTATTTTTTTTTTTTATTGAATAACTTATAAGTAGATTTTAGTATATAATAAAATTATTAATTGGTTAAAAATGTCTTTTTAAAGTAATTTATTATTCTAAAATCAATGTTATAGAATTAGTAAACTAAAGAATTAATATACACTAATAATGCTTCGATGGATTATTAAAATACAAGAATAATTATTTTGATTAATTTGTTTATAAGTTTTAAAGGATTATAATAGAATTATTAATATTATTTACACAACAATAATACAAAATTATGTAATATTAAAGTCAAATAAATACGTATAGAATATATTATCCTGGATTGATTATTTATATTTGCTTAGTTACGAAAAGTATTATTATAGGTATATTTTCTATTATAAATTTTTAAGTGCAGCTTATTTCATTCTCATTACATGATATTTTTATAAAAATTTTCATAAAAATTAAAAAATAAAAAAAGGATCGATAATACTTTACAATATTTGAATATCTATATGGTGATTACCTTTTTTTTTTTATGTTTTGAGCAATACTATTAGATAAATAAAGAATTCCTTAATTAAAATTATTCTTAAATTATTTGCTTAAGCAAAAATTATTGCTTTTAAGGCAAAATATTGTTTTTATTTTAATCGGATTTTTAAAAGAAGTTATTGATATTCAAGGAGTTAAAATTAAAATTCAAGGATCTAAGATATTTTATTTTTTAATAGTTTGCCCATTGTATATTATATTAGGATATACTATACTACCCAATTTGTATCCGGATAAACAAAGATGTGTAATATATAATAGCATTACTATTGGTGCTAACAGAAACTGCTAACATATATATCAAGAATCAGGAATTTATATATGATTGTCGTAAATAAATTTTCCTCTTCAGAGCAGAATCCTGAAATTGAAGGTGGAAGAAGAATATTGCATTGAGGTGGTTTGGCTTCTTTTAAATAAATAACCACCGTACGTCACTGTAAAGCCTTTACCAATTCGTTGATATAATCACCGACTGACCATCGCTGAGATTAGATTCACTTCCCTACAATGGTGATTTAATTCTTATCGCTGCTAAATAATTATACACAGACATCTTCTTGTTTACCTTCATTTTGCAATGTCAATCAATTATTATCTCTAGAAGAGTCTAGATCGTATTATGAATTAATTTCTCCCGCCTTCGATCTTCTAGCATGGTGTGTTTAACGTTCTCTAAACTATTTTGTATTGTGATAGCACTTATATTCATTCAAATGACTTTTCAGTTTATCTATCACCCGCAGATAGCGAAAGAGAATTTTGAAAGAGGTTGCAATAAAAATTTCTATCATCTTAAATAGTTTTATTGTTAAATCATTTGGAAAACTTCTCGAAATTTTGTTGTTGAATAGATTAATTATTATTAATGAATATATGTAAGGTTAAAAAAATATATAACTTGAATATACTATTAAAACTGCAAAAATTAAAATTAAGATAAATTACAATAATTATAAATAAAGTGATTTAAGTTATTGATATTTTCTATTTTATTGTAATGTAAAGCTCTATTTTTGTGGTATAGAAAGTAATAGTTAAAACTTGTTATGTATCACTCTTAGACATAATGTCTCGGTTGGTATAGCTTTGATGATATTAATCGAATAGATTGTTTCAAATCATGTTAGAATTTTTAATATAAATAAGAATTGAATAACTGAGAAACATTCATGGCTTGACCAACAAAACAGTAATAAACAAGTAAATAGCTAATATAAGAAAACGCTTCCGTTTATTATGATAAAAAATGCTTATATTTTCAATATTTACAATACAATTACACTATATAATTAATAATGGCAATGAGAATAATGCATAATGCATTTATGCTTGGTCATCAGTTGATTATTCATAGGTTGCAGGACTACTTTGTTTCTTATTTTTTCTTTTGATTTATAAACTAAGAGTGACTTTTAAAAATCTTTTAAATCTTTCGTTAAAACTAAATCATTTTGGAAACAAATTGTCGATATATACTTAATTAAAAATATCAAATTCTGATTTAGAGTAATGATCTTAATTATAATAATGTACTACTTATTTATAATGCATAAAAATCTGTAATTAAGACTTTTAAGGGTAGTGGATGAAATAATTGAGGCTACCTTATATATCAACATACCTAATGACGATTGGAATCTGAAGGATATGGCGAAAATCTTGAAAAAAAAAGGATACTTATCTTTATATATATATATATATATATCCTTATATGGTTATTTTAGTAGTTGTATTCTTGATATCTTCGTTATATCTTTTTAAATAACTTGTTTATCATCGAAAGATTTTGTTTTGAGTTTTAAATTTTATCACGTGGCATTATCATGACAGTATTATGAAGCTAGTCCGTAGATAATTTCATAAAATTTATAATCAAGGGATATTACTTCGTACAAGAAGCTATTTAAAGATGAATATAAGAGCTTTCATTTTACAACTAACGTTTATTAAAATATTTTTAATAAAATCCTACTTCTAAATGGATCTGAATATCTATTTCAACAATTCAAAGCTATGCAAATAAGTAATTATTTTTCTCCTTAAGTTTATTTCATTTATGGAATAATAATATATTGAAATTCTAGTGCAATATATAATGGAAATGTACATATTTAGTGCATAATTACTCTGAACAATTGTTGAGTGATATACTTGGCAAGAGTATTCTCATCTACTTGGATTAAGGGTTTCATAATTTCTAGAATATTGGTGCTGTCTAAGTAATCAATGTTGCAAGAAAAATTTGTGATTAGCGTTAATTTTCTTAACGTATTTTTATATTTTTTTATATAACGCCTGTTGAAGTCGCTTGTACTTCCTACATATAGAGGGACACCGAAAGAATCGTAAAGTTTGTATAAAATAAATTCAAAGCTTTTATGATGTATCATCAATTAGATTAGATAATAATTATATTGTCACTTTTGCACAAATATTGAATAAATTTGGGTGTTATTCAATTATAAATAAGATGTAAATTAAATATGGTTTTTATAATAGTCAATAAACTTTTATAATCAAATTATTACTATATTTTTAGTTGTGAACAATATAAATCAATCTGATAATAATAAAGTTGATTGAAAGAGATTTTATATTATTACAGTGCAATAAATATAAGCGATTAAATTTGGTTGAATCAATTTTACAGGAAAGTTTTTTTTATATTATATTATTTTATTAAAGAATTATAGTTGTAAATTTTAATTGTCGATGATACTTAATAAAGTATTTATAAATATTTATTTTACAGCTCGAATGTTATTCACCTTTTTTGCTGAAGATTATAATAAATCCTGCAAAATTTAAGTAATTCTTCATTTTTGTATTCCATGAATGAAGTTTCCACTTAAATGTATTTTTATATTGGAATCCAATCGATTTTTTATTTTAACGACTACTATTTCTGTAATTGCTCTTTTTTTATAATTGTACTTTTATAAATGTTTTACACTATTTAATCATATAATACATTTCTATATTGTACAATCTATAGAAATAATTAATAGCTTAGATGTAATCATTTATTGATTTATATTATAGTTTAAAAAATATTTTTTTGTTGATTATGATGAATCGTACACTAAGCGTACATTCCATTATTGTGAAAATATATACTATAAATGTTGTACAATTAGTCTTGGATTTAACAAACACTTTTAATTAAAATCTATAAAAACAATCATAATGTACAATAATTATATCACATCTAACTATAAAAATAAAAGTTTAAAATTCTTTATTTATAAGAATATGATAATTAAAAGATTAAATATAAATGATCTAATAATAATTTAGAGCATTTTTGCATTTTTTCAAATATTTTATTTTTCTTTATTTGTATTGCAATTTTATATTTCTTTGTATTTATTATAAAAATTAATAATATTTACTATAATTCTTAGGCATGTACATAAATTTCAAATATTTATGACTCAGTAACAGAAAATGTAAATATGCAAGAATAATAATTATATCAGTATTTACCTAGAATTATAAAAAATTACTATATAAGATCTGTAATCCGTTTAACAAAATGTTAGTAAAAGATGTTGATTTGGAAATTATATTATACTTTTCTTTTTATTATTGGTCTTACAGTCGGAGAAATAAAAAATAAAGGATGGTGGAAAAATGAAGTTTTCTATCAGGTATTTCCGCGAAGTTTTATGGATTCAAATGGTGATGGAATTGGTGATTTGAATGGTATATTTGCATTAAATCATTATATATTTAAATATAAATGAAATTTTACAGAATCATAATTTATATGAATATTTATAGTTGTAATATATGTTATTAAATATTAAATAAATGCTGTTTAAGCTTATTATCTTTATAATCTAGAAGATTAGAGTTCTAAAAGTTAGAATTTATGAAAATTTTAAATATTTAAATATTGATAAAATCAATTTAACATTAAATACTATATTTAATTGGAACTGTATATTGTGTAAATTTTTGTTGATTAAATATTTGGTAAATATCTAAGAATATAATTATTAAAAATTATTATTTATATGTATTACATTACAGAAATTAATATACATCAATTGCAGCAATTATATTAATTTCACGATTTGTTCGTCTAATTTGATAAATATTCAATAGTTTTCAATCAATAAATGAAATTGTCTTAATTTCAGACAATATATATTTATTAAGTTTTTTTTTTAAAGTACTTATTAATAATAGCAGTAAATAATCATTGAATATCATTATGATAAATATTATTTATTGTCTGTTTTTTATTTATTTTCTGCAAGAGACTATTTGGATAAACTCATTTTTCTACGCACTTTAATTCGATACTCCAAGATATGTATATAGATACATATGTGGAATTATATTATTTAAAAGGCCTAATAAATTTTAAAATATCTCGCTGCAATTAAAGAAAAAGTATATATTTTACAATTTTACTTGCTTTACGTTGTACGTAGCAGTGCAAATTAATATTTAAAATCACTTTATAAATATACTTTTTCATTTTAAATATATCTTTTTATTTAAAATATGTTTTAATTTATTATTTATAATATTTTTAATTATAAAACAGAATTTAAATATGTAAAAATTATCTATAGTTATATTATAAAATTTATAAGCTGTACAATTTTGTCTATATATAGAAAGAACTGTTAGCACTTTCATATTTTTAACACAATTTTATGTATATGAAAAGTCTTAAATTGATTAATTTTTTAATAGATATGTTTCGATAAACGCACTTATTATATATAATATATACTTACATAACAATATAATATTATATAGGTATTATAAGTAAATTAGATCATTTCGTTGATAGTGGAATAACAGCTATATGGATGTCACCAATATATTCTAGTCCTATGATCGATTCCGGTTATGATATTACGAATTTTCGCGATGTTGATCAGATATTTGGTACAATTCATGACTTTGAAAAATTAGTTCAGAAAGCTAAGAAGCTTGGAATTAAAGTAAATACAGTTTAAATTTCTAAAGAGTTTGTTATTTTATAAATGCAATAACATTTTTATACAAAACGAAAATTATTATTTTATATTAGATTATTATGGATTTCGTACCTAATCATACATCTATTAAACATAAATGGTTCGTTAAGAGTGTTAATAATATTGGTAAATACAAAGATTATTATATTTGGCATAAGGGACGAGAAAATAATACTAAACCACCAAATAATTGGATCGGTGTTTTCGGTGGACCAGCCTGGACTTATAATAAAAAAAGAAATTTATGGTACTACCATCAATTCGATTATAGACAACCTGATCTTAATTACCGCAATTATAAAGTTGAAATAGAAATGAAAGTAAGTTTTTTATACATTAAAACGAATATACATTCATATATCTACATAAGACTTTTTATTAGATTTATTTAAATTAGCATTTACATTTTGTTACATTTATACAATTATTAACCTTCTATCTATGACTAATAATTGAATATTTTTTCGATATATTGTATTGCATTCAAGGAATGCATATTTAAAAAAAAATATATATATATAATTTTTTAATTGGAATTTTTAATTTTGATATTATATTATAAGTATTTCTCCAAAACAATTCTTATAATTGTTATATACTAAGGTTTCTTTTATTTTATATAATAAATTGTGCTGCAGCAGAAAACATTTGGTAACACAATAGAATAGTTTGGTGCTATCATATAATTGGTAGGAAAAATTTATGTTTCAAGTATTTATAAATAATGTAATTAAGTATTTGAGTGTAATAATTTTTTACACTATTTTTTGTACAAAAGCGAAGAAATTAAAAACCATTATTGATGTAATTACGTAATCAATTACTTTGATTTCCTAGATAAGCGTTGGTTCACTGTAATGTTCATACATAATATATATCAGTGTAAATATTAAACTTTTTTATTTCAGTTATTCGTACAGTTATTTTTTAGAAATATTATAAAATCTTTTTTTCGATAAAATTTTTCCATTAAACTTCCTATATTTAATATGGAATAAAATATTGAAAACAATTGCAAGTTTTTAGTAGTATGTGAATAAATAAAAAAGTTTTACATAAAAATGCAAATTATAATTGTATATCAACATTTACGTACGACCAAAAAATAAAAATAAAAATGAAATACAGAGAAAATTCTATTAGTTAATCTAATTTAATGTCATCTTTCATTTCAGTTATACGTAATATTCTTAAGGTTTTAATATTATGATATTTCGAATTATTGATAGCTTAATATATCCAATTCTTTGCTCATATCATAATATTTTAATTTAATAATATTTTATTTGTATAATAAGTAAAATTATAGAAACAATCCTTATAAATTTCAAAATTTAGTGATGAATTAAACTATGTATACTTTTTTAACGTTAAATATAATTTATTTTATATAAAATTGTAATGCATAATTAGTATTAAAATCTTCTAATTAACTATATTAGCATATAGTTATCCCTATGAGTCTTCTAAAATGGTTAACAAAAACATTCTCTTTCAATTGGTTTTATTAGAAAATTCTTCACTTTTGGTTAAGGAAAGGTATTGATGGATTTCGAATAGATGCTGTTCCTAATTTATTTGAGAATGACGATTTGTTGGATGAACCATTAAGTAATTTAAAAGGATATGTTGACGGAGAGTATAGATACCACGATCATATTTATACAACACACGATTCAAGAGATTACGAGATAGTTGCACGTTGGAGAAAAATTTTAGATGAATGGGCAAATTATCACAATCAAGAAGAGAAGGTTTGTAATTATTGTAATATATATATATATATATTTTTTTTATTAATTAAAAAAAATAAAAATCTAGTACGTGTTATTTTGTTTGTAACAGATCGTGATGACAGAAGTTTATACACTCTCTTTTAAAGCTGTGATGAAATACTACAACTATGGATCTCACGTACCTTTCAATTTTGATTTCATTATATCTATTAACGAGACTTTGAATGCCAGGCAATATAAAAACGTTATCACTCGATGGATTGCTAATTTACCGAGTGACAAAAGTGCTAATTGGGTGGTAAGATTAAATCATATAAACATAAGTATATTCAAATATTGTAAACCAAAGGAATGAAAAAATTAATTCAAAGTAATAAACCAAAACTTATTAAATAATTTATTATTATACATTAGTGTTTTTTAAATTATTATATTATCACTTTACATTATTATAATATTCATGAGAAAGTAATTTCTCTTACATGTATTTATAAATATATTCGGAAGGTATATTATATATTTTCTATTATTTGAAATTCCAATTATAGACAAGTAATAACTATCTAAAAATAAAAGTTATAAAAATGTATTTATTAAAAATATCACATTTCTTTATACATCTATCAAAATTACATTTCTTATATCAACTGTGATGAGCGTATCTCTATACACCTCTTTTCTAATTTAAGTTATAATTAGAAAATATAGTATAATAATTTTTCTGATTATATATAATTATATCAAAGCTTTGGAGCTTCTTTAAAAACAGTATTGAATACAATTGACCAGAACGCTATACGCGTTAACGTAGTTAAATAGAATAGATAAGACATTTAGTTTATAAATAAATAATAATAAATAATAAACTAGATCTAACGGTATAAGTTGTGAGAAAAAAAAAGATCCTCTTTATAAGTTCTGGAAAGTAAATACAAAAATTTTTAACGTTATTTAAATTAAGTACAGTACTAGGAAGACTTTATATTACTGAATAAATATTTTTAACTGTTGGTTTTTATATAATGAACACTTATATTTTTAAGTAACAATGTTTATTATTTTAATATACAGACTAGTAATCATGATACCGGTAGATCTGCTTCAGTGGATCCTATAAGGCCTAACATAAGATTAATATTATCCCTAATTCTTCCTGGTATATCATGCGTGTATTATGGGGATGAAATCGGTATGGAAAATAATTTTAATATCACTTGGGAACAAACACAAGATCCCCAAGCATGTCGAACGGATCCGAAAACTTATCAGAAAGTATCACGTGATTTTTCTAGAACACCATTTCAATGGGATGACACAATGAATGCAGGTATGAATTTGTTGTTACATTTGCTTATATACCAAATGTAAAAGAATGAAAAAAAATTTTATTACATCATATTTATTACATTATTTATTACGGAACAGTAATACTATCTATTTAATTTTATTATCAATTTATTCTATTATTCTTAATCTTCATTAATACGAATGATTGAATTGTGGGCGAGTAGATTGGTGCGCTATTAAACTTTTTTATATCGTACACATTGAAAATTTAAATAATTTTGATATAATATTATTGAATAAGATACCATCATTTCCAAAATATTTTAAAATTTATTATACAAATATTATATCATGTTTGGTATCATAAATAAAATATTTTGATGTGCAATTTCTTATTATAATAAATATAAAATTTATATTGCTTATATTTTCTTGTACAGGAATGTCATATGAATTTTTATAAAAATGATCTTGGTTTATTCCAATGGCTTATCAATAATATATTTATCAATGATATAGTTTATATATATATATATATATATATATATATATATATATATAAATAATATAAAAAATGCTTATAATAATATAACTTTATAATATCATTCCAACATAAAAATTTATAAAAAATATTATAAAATTTAAATAACTAATTTTGTATTTTTTAGTTATATGCGGGATAAGAAATTCTCAGAAAGACACTATAAATGTTTAAATTTTCTAAATTTTCTATAATTTAATTTACTAAATTTTCCAATAAAATACGAGTTTTTAGTTTATTATAATAATTTAAAAATAATTACAAATATTATTATATATTTTATAATGCAAATATTATTATATATTTCATAATTATTTTTTTTTTTCATTTATTTTGTAGTATAATTATTTTGGAAAACTTTATTTGTTAAATATTACTCTTATTTTTATTATAAGTAAAAATTATTATTATTATTATTTAAATTTATTCCATAAATAATGAATAAAAATATAAACATATAAATAAAAAAAAGATTAAAAATCTATATTCTATAATATTGAATTATTCATACTGGATTAACATTTGATGTACAAATAAAATGGAATGGAATTGTATAAATTTTAATAATATTTAAATAGTTTATCAAAAACTTTTAAATACTATAATTTCTCATTTAATATATATTATTTAATATATATATATATATATATATAAGTAAACTCATAAAATACGATGTGATTTTAAATTCAATTCTGTATTAATTAATTGATTATCTATTTGAAAAGTTTATTTCCCAGTTCATGAATATATTATATTCTTGTGGAACTTAAACATTAATTTGTAAATATAATGGAAAATATAATGGAATATACATATATAACTAATGTAGTACATAAGTATAGTAATAATAGTAATTACTAATATATATGTATGATAAATATAAAATTTAATAGTAGCGTAAGTGTATATACTATTTATGTTTTTAAATTTAAGTGTTTAAATGGTTTTTTATTTCTATGTTGTTATTGAGTACATTAAAATCATATGTACATCGGACCATTTATTATTATGTTAAATATTTTAACGTTTAATTCTTATAATTATTACCATAAAAATAAATATTCATGTTTATTAATTTTTAAATTTATTTAATATTTTAATTACAGGTTTTAGCAAAGCTAGAAAAACATGGCTACCAGTTCATAAGAATTACAAAATTTTAAATTTAAAGAATCAAAAATTTGAACCTGAATCTCATTTCAAACTTTTTAAAACTCTTGTTGCACTGAAAAAGTCGTCGGAAACCTTGAAAAGTGGATCATTAATAACCGATACATTAAATAACGATAAAGTTTTGGTTGTATCACGCCAGTCGTCTAATGAAAGTATCGTTTTTATCGTTAATTTTTCTGACGATGTTTCGCAAAATGTTAATCTTAATAAATACTTACCTGGAGCTGTGAGAGCTACTGTTATCATATCAAGCGTCGGATCAAATATCAGATGGGGGTATGTTATTTCTATCCATTATAAATATAGTATTTAAATGTTATTTAATTTAAATATAAATACCATTGAAACATTATAAACTATAATACTTATTACAGTACATCTATAAAAGTTCCGGATGTAGAATTACCACCAAGCATTATGTTACTACTAACTAGCATAACAGTTGAATCTACGTAATTAATTTGAAAATAATATGGATATTATTTATTTCTAATGCTCGATTATTTTATAGAAAAAAAATAAAATAATAAGAATTATTTCTAATCTTAGTTTTGAAAAATATTAAACATTGGACAAAATTATTATTAATATATTTATTGTACTATTGATTACGATTTTTACAGATATCGATAAGCATTAAATTATACGAATAGTTATTTCTTTGATTTTACTTTACATTATATAATAAATGAATATACCAGTTATCGAGAGAAGTAAGTGTTATTTGAAATTAATTGAAGTAAATGACATTCTTTTAATACAATAATTAATAACAACTTTATATCTACAATCATTACTTGTAACATTCATATAAATTACTTTTTAAAATGTATATGTATATCGGTTAATTCGACAAATTTTGTTTAAGAAATTTGTTTGATAATAGATAATATTTACCATTCAAAATCTTTTAAACAATTTTTTTATGAAGATTGCGTAAAATGTAGATATTAGTACATACGTATTTTGATGTTTCTAATTAAGTAATTTGCAAAATTAGATATAGCAGAATTACTTAGTTCGTAAAATATTGTACGGGATAAATATAATTTGTAAAATATCAAATGTACATTTATCTCTAGGATTATATTTTCTATCTTATTAAGAAATTATTTGAAGTTTCTATTGTAGTATAATATAATTATTTATAGTTTTCAATATATCATAAATGCCTTCTTATTTATGTACTTTAGAGCTGCCACGTATGGAAATCAAGCAATATTTATGTAGAATAAAAATATTTTATTTTATTTAAAAATATTTAATAATTATGTATAATCACTTATAAACAATTATAATAAATCAATGCATTACTCGACTTGAGCATTTTTTTTATTTTTTTTTATTGTCTATTATTTCTTGAAAATATTATATATTTTGTACTACATTGAAGTGATTGATATAATCTAATAATTCATCAGACAAAATTAAAGTTTGAAATATAATTTTTTTTTTACGCAAACAGATTCTTTTTACATAATTTAGATAAAGAATGCACGAATTTTTATATATAATTCATTTACTTTATTTATTTATTTATTTGTTATTTATTACTCGTTATAAGTATTAAATTAAATATTAATATTAAATTAAATTAATATTAAATTAAATAAAATATAAGTTTTAATCTGAAAACGAAAAAAACTTAGTATTACTTTTCTTTTGATTTCTTCAAATTTAAGAAAGTTTACTTACGATTAATTGTATTTGATAAATGTGTACTACATTATATATGTTTATAAGTTAAATAAGTTTGATCAGAATGGTATTTTTTAAATGTTTTTAATGTATATGTACAAAATTATTATCATGGTTGACTGAGTAAAAGTATTGTAAAAATATATATTTAATGTATAAGTGTTTTTTTTATTTTGTAATATTAGAGAGTTTATTTTTCAATGAATAAATTATTATATTTCAAAATTAAAATTAAATTGAAAACCATGATTTTTTTATTTAGATATACAATTTTGAGTAATTGACGGATGATAAGTTCAATATTCTAATTTAGGGTTCTATTTTTATTAAACTGTGATTTTTTGTTAATAAAAATATTACCATAGTCGTATATTTTTACTGGTCTTACATTTATATAAATTATTATCTACATTTTTATTTATTTTTCTGACTGTATCCAAAGAAAATATTTGAATATCAATTGTTTACTAGAAAATAGAAATGAAATAAATAGAAGTAATATTTTTTCTTCATTTACATGGTACATTGGATTTTAATATTTTCTATGTTTTTTATTTGCTTAATCTGGCTCTTTATTTACTCATGATAATACGAGAAAGTAACTAAATAAACATTATACAATTTCTGAATATTTTGTTAGAAGAATGATAAATAAATTTATTAAGATAAACAACTGTAATATTTAAACTACTGAGAGTTCTAAAATAATACATATTATTATTATGTATTATTAAATATCTTAAATAGAGATCTTAATTTATAGATAGATCTTAAATTTCAAGTACTATATTGAAAAATATATATATTTGCATTGATTAGTGAATATTAATTAAATAAAAGATTGTAATCCTTAAAATGAAATATAGATTAAAGTACTAAAAAATTCCGATATTTCATTATTTATATTGTTTCAACGTTAACTATTTAATTATTTATTTAATATAATTATATAATCCTTAAGTTAAAAAATAGTATGTTAAAAAAAAGAATATATTGAATATAATATTAATCAAGATGATTAAAACATCATTTCGAATTTAAACATTTATCTTCTAATTAACATAAACTTATGATTTGATTCATTATTTATCTACTTGATCATATTGATATTTCACTCCATTTATTTCAATAAAAAATTTATTATATTCTATTTTTTTGTTCAAATTCTATCTATTAAAGTATCGTCGTTTAATATATATATATATATATAAATATATAACAAATCTTGATGATAATTTATATAATTGTAATATCCGAATTTTATTTAAATATATCATTCGTAAATATAGAATGTTATTATTACATTAAGTTACTATTGAATTCTTTAATAAGGTATTTTTGTAATTGACCTAGATGCTATCATCTAGGAGTATTTGATATATAATTAGTTTTTACGTACTTTTAATTCGGTTGAATTAAATTTATTTTTATTTATTTAACATTTTAAGTTTTAATCATACGTAAACATATTCTAATTGAATGCTATAATTGCTACATTTTAAATTATAAAATAATATTTCTATATTAAATTTTATAGATTAATTGGGCTTCGTTATATTTTATAATTAATATAACATCCTTATATTTTTATAAAAAATAAATGATATTATTCAGTATTATGCATCTCTATCCTGAGAACTTCCAAATTTTTTTATGTAATCAAATAAATACTTAATTTTATTTATTATATAAAGCAAAGAATGAGCAATGTAACAATATAAGGGCATTATTATCATTGTTGCATTAAATAGATTCTTCATCAGATAAGAAATCTTGATGATAATTTTTAACTGTTACAATATTTTATATTTTATTATAATTATATTTTCCTGAGTAATACTGTCAAGAATTGAAATTATACGTTTAAATAAATATTTTAATATATATGTGCTGTTATTCATACTTTATCATATGAATAAAGTAATTGAAGCAATTAAAATTAAGTAAATAATATTTATATTAATAATATAAAATATTTTATTAAAAAATTGCATTACCTATATTTATCATATATTTTATCATTTATATATTTTATCAGAAAAATATAATAATTTATATAATTAAAATTAACTAAATAAGATTTACATTGTTAATTAAAAATTAATCAAAAAACAAATATTTGTAATATGTTTTTAAATTTTACTTAGGAAAAGTAGTTTTATCTATTTTATCAGAAGAATATAATGATAGACATAATTAAAATTGAATAATAATAATTATATTATTAATTTCAAATTCTTGAACAAAAACAAATATTTGTAATATAGTTTTAAAAATTACATAATACAAGTAGTTTTAACTATATTAAATTCTATATATATTATTACCTTAAGATTTTTTATCAAAAATATTTCTAATAGCTGAAATATTTATCTTGTAAAAAAAGCTTTATTTATTTAATCAGAACAATCTATTAAATGTAATGATTATAATTTATTATAATATTCTATAGTATTAATCCAATCTTTTTTTTTTATCACAAAATGAACATTATGTAAAATTTTTATATACTAAGTTTTTTATATTTTTTACAGTACTAATTTAAATAATTAATAAAAATACAATTGTATAAATATTTTTTCTTATGTATATAGACTTATCTATTTTATCAAAAATTATTATTAGTAAATGATTAAAGTTAAATACCGAATATTTATATTACTATGTAATTTAAAATGTGTCTTCGCTGAAGTATAAACAAATTTAAAAAAGAATAGTAATTATTGATAGCATTTATTTAAAATTATAACAATTTTCTATATAAGATACTTAATTTGATTAACAAAGTAAGAGTCAAAGATGTTATCCTGGCGATCATATCTTACGTTTTTACTTATTATTACAATCGCAGCAGGAGAAATAATCAATAGAGGTTGGTGGAAAAATGAAATATTATATCAAACCTATGTACGAAGTTTTATGGATCTTAATAATGATGGAATTGGTGACATAAAAGGTGATTAAATGATATTTTCTTATTTATTTTTATGAAATTTATTTAAATTTTATTCGTAATTAAAGAATTTGATTTATTATATAGGCGTTACAAGTAAATTACGTCATTTTCTTGAATCTGGCATCACAGCTATATTATTGTCACCTATAAACACTAGTCCAATGATTGATACTGGATACGATATTACAAATTTTCTTGATATTGATAAGTCATATGGTACACTTACTGATTTCGAAGAATTAACAAAAAAAGCCAATAAGAATGGAATTAAAGTAAAAAATTTAATTTTAATGTTAATAAAACTGCAATTACATAAATGTCTAATTACTAGGTTATTATGGATTTCGTGCCCAATCATACATCTGATCAGCACGAATGGTTTGTTAAAAGTGTTAATAGCGATAAGAAATATAAGGATTATTATGTTTGGCGTAAAGGTCAAGACAATAATTCGAAACCTCCAAATAATTGGATTAGTGTTTTTGGTGGATCAGCTTGGACGTACAATAAAAAAAGAGATTTATGGTACTTGCATCAATTTGATTATAGGCAACCTGATCTTAATTTTACCAATCCTAATGTTCATAGAGAAATGGAAGTAAGCTATTTATATGTACAATAAGGTTTTAGGTTATTCTTACATTCATATTCATGCTCGACGCTTATTACAAGTCGTTGAATTATCCGTCTTTTTTTCAAATGTTAAACGGAAAAAGTAATGAAAGAAAAATGAAAGTGAGTTACGCGTTGAAACTATAATTTGACTATTTACGTATGAAATCCAAGATGTATAGTGAATATGATATAATTATTTTTAATATTGAAATTTTTTTTAATATTAAATAAATTATATAATTGCTTTATAAATTATAATATGTATAAATAGATTATATTGTATAAAATACGTTTATAAATCCATTATTTTCAAATCAACCATATAATTTGAGTATTATAAACAATATGATCTATATCAAAATAAATATTAATTAAAAATAATTATATAATCAGATAATTAATAATTATCAAACATTGAATGAAATTAATACTATAATAATATACAAAATATATGTGTGAATTTAAACAGTATCAAATAGTTGTTACAAATCTTTAAAAGATATAAACATTTGGATTTTTAATTTAAAATCTATTATTAGGAAATCATGAAGTTTTGGTTGCAAAAAGGTGTCAGTGGTTTTCGAATAGACGCGCCTGGTTTTATCTACGAAAATGATAATTTTTTAGATGAACCATTGAGTAATTATCCTGGAGCAAAACCAGGAGAGTATAGATATCTTAATCACATTTATACTATGAATGATGAAAGATATCATAATTTATTAATGAATTGGAGAAATATTATGGATAAATGGTCAGATGCACGGAATGATGAAGAAAAGGTTTACTATTATTTTAAATGAATATATATTTTCGTAATAATTTAATCTGTATTAGATTTTTTATTAATATTAATAGATAATGTTGGTAGAAGTTTACACAAGCTTACAGAAAGTTATGGCATTATATGATTTTGGAGCTAATATACCCTTTAATTTTTATTTCGTTAAAAATCTTGATAGTACTTCTAAACCTAGTGATTTCAAAAAAGTTATTGATGATTGGATGGCAGCTTTGCCCGAAGGAGTAGTGGCTAACTGGGTGGTAAGATCAGATAAATAAAATATATATATGCATGTATGTACATGTATGCTACTATTCTATAAGTTAAAATTACAAATATCACACACACACACACACACACACACACACACACCATCTCTCTGTCTCTCTGTCTCCCTCTCTCTCTCTCTCTCTCTCTCACTCTCTCTGTATCTATTATTATTATTATTATTATTATTATTATAAGAGTTAAGAGTATATATAGTAATTGTACATTTTAAATATTATTTAAATAATTATATGTTATGTTTGTTAATGGCTGCATAAAGGAATTTGTTAAAAGATTGACATTTAATTAATAAATAATTAGCTTCAGTATTTATTTCAAAAGTATATAAAGTAATGTAAAGGACAAATTTTCATAAATTAATAAGAAAATTACTGCTGTTTGTGGTACTGCTATTTGTATTTTTCGTGAATGGAAATTAAAATAAAAAAGTACAAGAATTAATATTATATATCTGATTGGAAATATGATACTTGTAAAACTATCTGAAACAGCTGAAGTAAGCTGAAGTTAAGATTTCTGAAAGAATCGGATAATAAATAAAAATATAAAGTATATTAATTAAAATAATTTGCTTATTACTTAATTATAGAGAGAAATATAAAGATATAGAGAAGTAGAGACCGAGAAATATCGATTATTTTTATGAATAATTGCATTACATTCTAATATTATAATGACTAAAACGATTTAATTAATAGATGTTTTAAAAATGCATTTGTATTATATAGACCAGCAATCATGACAATAAAAGATCGACTTCGAAATTCCCTGAGAGGCCTGACCTGATGTTATCATTAGTTATGATTCTTCCCGGTGTAGCATGTATATACTATGGGGAAGAAATTGCTATGGTCGATAATTACGATATTACTTGGGAACAAATTTATGACCCTCGAGCACGTAAATTAAATGCTCAAAGTTTTTCTACCTCAGCTCGCGATTTCTTTAGAGCGCCATATCAATGGGACGATTCAATAAATGCTGGTAAGGAATTTTATTTATAATATCATTCCAACATAAAAATTTATAAAAAATATTATAAAATTTAAATAACTAATTTTGTATTTTTTAGTTATATGCGGGATAAGAAATTCTCAGAAAGACACTATAAATGTTTAAATTTTCTAAATTTTCTATAATTTAATTTACTAAATTTTCCAATAAAATACGAGTTTTTAGTTTATTATAATAATTTAAAAATAATTACAAATATTATTATATATTTTATAATGCAAATATTATTATATATTTCATAATTATTTTTTTTTTTCATTTATTTTGTAGTATAATTATTTTGGAAAACTTTATTTGTTAAATATTACTCTTATTTTTATTATAAGTAAAAATTATTATTATTATTATTTAAATTTATTCCATAAATAATGAATAAAAATATAAACATATAAATAAAAAAAAGATTAAAAATCTATATTCTATAATATTGAATTATTCATACTGGATTAACATTTGATGTACAAATAAAATGGAATGGAATTGTATAAATTTTAATAATATTTAAATAGTTTATCAAAAACTTTTAAATACTATAATTTCTCATTTAATATATATTATTTAATATATATATATATATATATATAAGTAAACTCATAAAATACGATGTGATTTTAAATTCAATTCTGTATTAATTAATTGATTATCTATTTGAAAAGTTTATTTCCCAGTTCATGAATATATTATATTCTTGTGGAACTTAAACATTAATTTGTAAATATAATGGAAAATATAATGGAATATACATATATAACTAATGTAGTACATAAGTATAGTAATAATAGTAATTACTAATATATATGTATGATAAATATAAAATTTAATAGTAGCGTAAGTGTATATACTATTTATGTTTTTAAATTTAAGTGTTTAAATGGTTTTTTATTTCTATGTTGTTATTGAGTACATTAAAATCATATGGACATCGGACCATTTATTATTATGTTAAATATTTTAACGTTTAATTCTTATAATTATTACCATAAAAATAAATATTCATGTTTATTAATTTTTAAATTTATTTAATATTTTAATTACAGGTTTTAGCAAAGCTAGAAAAACATGGCTACCAGTTCATAAGAATTACAAAATTTTAAATTTAAAGAATCAAAAATTTGAACCTGAATCTCATTTCAAACTTTTTAAAACTCTTGTTGCACTGAAAAAGTCGTCGGAAACCTTGAAAAGTGGATCATTAATAACCGATACATTAAATAACGATAAAGTTTTGGTTGTATCACGCCAGTCGTCTAATGAAAGTATCGTTTTTATCGTTAATTTTTCTGACGATGTTTCGCAAAATGTTAATCTTAATAAATACTTACCTGGAGCTGTGAGAGCTACTGTTATCATATCAAGCGTCGGATCAAATATCAGATGGGGGTATGTTGATTTTTTGATGATTTTTCATACAGATGTGTTAGAATTATTATTTATATTAATTAATATTTTTTTTTAATTTGTTAATTGATTGCTTATATAAATTATTACAGTGCCAATATAAGTGTCATGGATGTTGTTTTACCGCCAAAAATAATCTTGGTTATCACTAGCACTATACATAGACGCAATTAATGTTTTATACTTGAAACGTAACGTTGAAATAAAAAATTGTATTGTTGGAGAGAATATTATTAAATTTAATGATAAAGAGTTTATTTTATATAAGTTATTTAGAATTACCACACCTTCTATTTATATGAGATAAAAATATGTAACTTTTATGTAGTTTCTAAATGTTTCGTACTTATATTTCTTATTAATTATACTAATATACAAATCTTTAATCATTAATTCATTTCAATAATTATCTATTATTAATTATCCCTTGTCAATAATTATTAATTTGTAATTTTGTAACCACCTATAAATAAATTTAAAAATAATAAAAATAAATAAGTAATAGTAAATATATGTTTTAAGTATATTATTATTATTTTATAAATTAATTGACAATGACTTCTTATTTGTGTAAGTAACGATCTTTTTTATCGTATTGTTGGAATAGTATAAATAAAAACTGATTAGTAGTATCACAATTGTGTAATTGTTATAACAATAACTTGAGTTTTTGAATTTACAAAAACTGCTTAAGATAAATTGATTTTACACACTTCGTTGTAATATATAAGATATTGCAATACATACGTATATTTTTTATATATTCTTCTATATATTCTAGTCATAGTAGGCATGAATTAAAATCATATTGTTGAAATCAGTTTTGACCTTGATCTTATCAGTCTCTAATTAATTATTAGAATAGAAGTATAGCGAATACAAATAAGAAAGTTTTAGAATCTAAGTAGATCCGAAAAAAAATTAAAAAATAATTAAAAACATAATTAAAAAAATAATTAAAAAAAAATTAAAAAAATAATTGCGAATACTACGAATAGTACAAGAGATTTCGATCCTTAAAACTAGTTAGTGTTCTGCGCTATAAAATCTACAATTACATGTGAAATTCGACTTCATTAACGCACACACTGAAAAATTTCTAAATTAAATCAAGTGCACCAAATATCTATGAGTAAGAAAGTAGTAAGTCAGCAGTTTACCAATCATCTCGAGTCTATCGTACAAAAATCAATATAATTCATTATTAAAACTCTTTAAGCAGCAGTCGAAATATTATATTTTTTAATAAAGTATTTGATATAACTCAGAATGATAAAGTCTTATGTAATTGAATAAATAAAGTTTGACTAATGTAATCTGTTATTTATATAAATTTCGTTGGTAAAAATTCGCTGCAGGTGTTTATTTTGACTCAGTGTTTCATTGTAAATAAGCCTGATGAAATTATATTAAAGTAATTAGTTAAATATATCGTTTTAACAAACATACCTTATGTTTTTACTTATTATTACAATCGCAGCAAGAGAAATAATCAATAAAGGTTGTTGGAAAAATGAAATATTATATCAAACCTATGTACGAAGTTTTATAGATTTAATAATGATGGAATTGGTGACAAAAAGGTGAGAATTATATTTTCTTAATTATTAAAACGAAAATGAAATTTATTTAAATTTTATTCTATATAACTATAATTTTGCGAAAGTATATTAGATTGACAAATAAAAAAAAAAATCGTTATACAATGAATATCTTGATAAAAAAATCTTACAGAATCTCATTCTGATTACTCCATAAAAAAAAGCTTTAACTTTAAAAACCATACTATTTAAATTTTATTCTTAACTGATTTTTTTCTTTTTATTATAATTTTTAAAATCTCTATTAAAATAATTCTCTATATGTTAAAAATGTTAAATGTAAAAATAAACGATGATATAGATAATCCAAGTTCTAATTATGAATAATAAGTCCATAATTTGTACAATCACAATGTTGAAAATATTTCAAACGTTATAAAATAGTATAAAAAGTACGTTTTTATAATTAAATGAATAATATATATTTAGTTTCCTTAAAATTAGTGGAATCAGACAAGTTTTTATAAGCATTATAACACGAAAAAATTTGTATGCAATTTTACTCTTTACACTATAAATTTTTTTAAGTTGTTAGTATTATAACAATTCTTTATTTATCGTAAAATTTTTCTATAAATATATTTAATTATTCTTTGTAGTATATGCGTGCACTGTCTACACGTACAAAGCATATAATAATTGTTGACGTCTATATACCAATATATGATTTTTTTTATATTAAAATGATATCACCATATTATTATCATAAATTTACTGACAATTGTTATATTCACTAAGACATTTATAGCGATTGAACTAATTTCAATATGGAACGTTTTGAATTTTTGCATCAATTACATCATTTCGTTAATTATGTATTTATTTTTACTCTTATTATCATTGTGATTTTTATTATCACTTAGAAAGGAATAAATAGTGTGGTTGAAAAATGAAATATTTTATTGAGTTTATTCGAAGTTTTATGATCTCTCATACAGTATAATATGAAGATACTTAATATATTTAGTATTATATGTAAACTGTTGATTTTATTCTTCATGTAATAAAAATATGAAGGGTATTAATGTAAGAGAAATATATTTGTTTTAATATAGATTAATTAAAAACCAACTTCCCAATGCATCTGATTATTGGTTACTAAAACCAAAGACTGAACATTCGTATGAGTAATATGCCAATGACAGCAGCGGTTTCAAACTTATCGAAAAAGAAAAAAATCATTTGCAAAGTTGCGTGGCGATTCTGTAAGTCTATGTCGTTGGTAGTCGGTTTTTTTTAATCTATTAATATTTATGAACCAGTTTCCTACTAAATATAGTAGGAAAATAGTGCTATATATATATATACACTATAGCTAGGAGTTCCTAAAAAGTTCCTCGCTCACTTATGTCAATATAACACTTAAATCAATATTTTTCTTTTCCAACGGTGTCGTTGAATTCTGTATTCCATTACATCGGTTTTACATTTACTGTTATTTCAATTTCGATGCGACATACGTTTTTTAATCATCGCACACCCATTTCTAGATCTGCGATAACGAGTTTATAAAACTTAATTACATAAATTATTATCATTATCGTAGTTCTAAATATAGTTTCCTATATTTTTTTCATATTAAATATCATATGTGGCTTTTAGATCTAAATCAATTATGTGGATATGAAATAGACTAACTTACAGATGCAAAGATACATTAAAAAATTGCAAAATTTCATTAAGTTAATTAAATATTTTTGTATTAATATTATGATTATTTGCTGTTAAATATTAATGTAACCATTCGATTATTTAATTTGATCTAGATTTCCTACGATTAAAACTTTATATATATTTGATTTCAATTAGAAACGCTTTGTAATTGTAAAATATTTGCTTTTTTTGTTGTATTTTAATGTGATCGTGGGAAATCGATTGACATTAAAATTAGATTAGACAAATATAGCCTTGAATCAAGAAAACTTTATAAATTTAAGTTTTATCTTAATTTCAATTTTAGAAATAGATAATAATAATATTGATAAGATTTCATCTTAACATAATTTACAATAAAGCTTATAGGCAAAGTATTTAAGACAATTCTGTACTGTGAAATTAAAGTCAGTACAAAAAATATTTGAATTTTAAGAATTCTCTGTTTATCATATATAAAAGAAAACATTTTTAAAATTATGAAAAAGCTAATTTATACACATTGTGTGATTATGAATTTGTGAGCAAGGGTCTTAGCAAATAGGTCACTGAGTATGTACCAATAGAGATTTAGATATTTAATTTTATCGATCACCCTGTAGCCAAAATCTGTTAAAGCTATTAAACCCTGTGATCAGATTGCTTAACTTTTTTGACCAGTCCAATACCAATTTAATAGTCATAGTTTACTTACTTGCTATTACATTTACACACTTTCATTTAATATTCTCTAAATGACTTGTTTGATTTATTTGGTGTATCAATTTTTTCCTTTATATTGATTCGATTATATTTGGTTTAATGTATTAGCTTTCATTGTCTAAGCAACTGATTATAAATTTAATTTTTAACATATTTCTGTTTTCTTCCAACTTAACAATTAATTTTCTGTTAGTTTTTTTTATAAAATTATACAAAAAATAAAGTAATTAACATTAAAAATAATGAAAGTTAAGTTTATTTATAGAAGCTAATACAAAAATTTTCAAATATTTTATATAATTTTTAGTTTCCTAATAAATCGTAATAACTAATATATGTATTATATATTTATATATATATATGATAGATACAGATAAAAATATAATATAATAGAAAAATTTCAAAAATATTACATTAATTTATATTTTTAATTCATTTTAAATTAAATACACTGGTGTAATCTAAAATAATTATGAAATTTAATTTAAATGAGTGGTATAATATTAAAGCCTCAATTTTCGTAAAGATATTACAAAGAAATTAGTTTACCTAAAGAAGCATTATAATTAATTATAGTTATGATTTTAATTATATTTTAATTATATCAATTTAATTGATATTAATTATAACTTGTAGTTAAATTAAGGCACATTTTAAGTACATATATAAGAAATAAATTCAAAAGTATAATAACTTTGGTGTAAATTTAAAAATTTTTTTTTATCATTATGAATTTTGTATTTAATCATATGTCTAATCAACGTTTTATTAAAAGCTTCAATCACGAAGAAAAATATAAGGATATCATGTTTGTCGTACCAACAAGTTTAATCTTTCAAATAATTGGATTAGTATTTTTAATGGAAAATTTTGAATTTATAACAAAAATGAAATTTATAGCTTTATCATTTTTTTTCATTATGGGCAATTGAATTTTGTTTATAAAAATTGTAAATTTTATTTATAAGAGAATTAATTTTGAATAAAACAATCACACTAAAAATATATTTTAAATTTTCATATTTCTCAAATTTTTAAGTAGATAAATACATTTTAAACTTTTTTGTTTATAATAGCATATTCATTTTGAAAATCACTTAAAAAATTGAATGAAAAAATCACTTGAAGGAAAAATATAATAAAAGATTAAAGGAAAAAATAGTAAAGTAGGATGCAGTAAAGCATGCAAAATGATATTAAAATATATAACAAACATTTTTTTAATAATATTACGAAACAAATTATGGTAATTTAATTATACTCTTTATTTCT